CTCTCTCTCTCCGTGTCTCTCTCTCTCTCCGTGTCTCTCTCTCTCTCCGTGTCTCTCTCTCTCTCCGTGTCTCTCTCTCTCTCCGTGTCTCTCTCCGGTCAGTCAGGTCAGTCAAGCCATGCCCATCGACGCCCCTTTCCCCACTTCCTCGGATCGATATTTACCAAGTCTCGTCTCATCTGCCTCATCTTATCTCATCTCATCCCGTCCCATCTCACGAACGAGCATCATCAGCCCATTCAGTATAATCATCACCCACGACGCTGACAACCACGACAACCACGACAACCACGACAACCACGACAACCACGATAACCATGACGATAACCATGACGATACCACCACCAACACCAACACCACAACCACCAAGCCACCCCGCGAGAACCCAAGAACCAAAAAACACACAAACGTCGACATTGCGTTTCGAGTCTTGACCACCGGAGCCGGGCGGGAGAGTAACTAACGTCCATGCTCGCTCCTCCTCTTATATTCGTCCCGTCAGTCGTTCGGTAGGTCAGTTAGTTAGTCAGTTAGTCAGTAATTCAGTCAGTCAGCCAGTCAGCCAGCATTCACACATCCACAGACAAATCCACAGACAAATCCACAGACAAACTCATCTCCCAGCTAATAGATCTGGCATTTGAATACTAGCTAGCCAAATATCTGAGCTCCCCCCCCCCTCCTCCTCCTCCTCCTCCTCCGCCCTCGTTGCCTACCATATGCATCATCATCATCATCATCATCATCACCATCACCACCACCACCACCACCACCACCACGCAACATGCGATTCGAGCCTGACGAACCTCAAGCTCATACTCAAGCTCAAGCTCACACCCACATCACCCCACGGAACAAACCCCCCCTTCGTCATGCTCCCTTTCGTTCTAAAAAGTAAAAAAAAAAACCCAATTCGCTCGAGGCGTGACCTACTCCCCATGCCCCCCCCTTCTAAACACATTAATGGGAATCTCCGCGAAGCATAATGGGTTTCGGACGCATATGAGCAGCTTGACGGCTGACTTTGGGTTGCGCCGCCAATCGGTGGTGTTGTACCGTTTTCGCTCCAGTGGTTTGGTCGGTGGCTGTGTATTAGGATTAGGGCGGTAATGTATTTATATTAGCCAAGCTGGTCATTGAAGCGACCCTCCCGATTGTCAGGAAGCCAGGTCGACGGGATTCAAAGATATAGGTTCCGGTCCGGGTCCAGTCCAGTCCAGTCCAGTCCGGGACGGGACCGCGATGAATCGACTTGCTCTGACGCTGTAATTAATGCTCAAAACCTACGTCAAGTCAGGGACAGCCCAAGTCCTCGCAGTCAGATCCACACGTGCTTACCGTATCTCATAGTTTCCCGCCCTCGTCATGTACCGCACCCACTTGACGCTGCTGTAGTTGCTCTTCTCAAACACCTTCAAGTACCGCACCAGCAGCCCGGAACTCGTAAACATGAGCAGGGAGAAACTCAGGCCCAGCGGCGGCCGGCTCCATGCCTTTTGGTTCGTCATGCTTGTCAGCTGGGCCTCTGCGCTGAGCACAAACTCGCTCTGGCCGGTGAACCGCGGAATCTTCCACACGACGTTGTTGGACTCGGGCTCGTATTTGGCCTTGCCTGTGCTCGATCTCTCCGTGACCTTGGCCGTGTTCAGCGGCGTCGGTATGCGGACTACGACGTTTGTTGCAAAAAGCTTGGAGCTGTAATTGGCGCGGATCGCGATGCTGTACTCCACCTTCGTCTTCCCGACTTCGTTCACGATTGCCTGTACCTTGAAGGGCAAGTTCACATTCTCCGTCGCGCGATATCTCATCAGGTCGAATTCACCGTCGGGCGGGACAAAGCTTATGATCCTGTCCGAGTCGAATTTGCCGAGCTTCACACACTGGTGGAACTGGCAGTCTTCCAAGGTAACGCTCCCTGCCGCTGCCCGGGTAGCCTTTGTTCCCGCGCGGTTCCCGGACGGCGGCTGTACATTCTCGTCACCGAGCGTGAGCCGATCGTTGAGGCCGAACTTGCACTCGGGGGTGCCGGAAAGATATGCGCGCATCACGATTTGTCCGTTCACGTCGGCGCGCAGAACCGTGCCTGTCGCCGACATGAGCAGATTGACGTCCTCGATGACATCGACAAACGCTTCGTTTTTGCGGTATTTGATGTCAGCCCTCCGCCATGAGAGCGCCCCGGTGGCCTGCATCGTTATCTTCGACGAGTCCTCCTACATCATGGTTAGCCCTTGCACTCTCGTCGTGTACTACTGCCCGCACCATGACCCTATCAGACTTGACCCCTTCCGTCGTGATGTACATCTTCAACGTGTCTGTCTCCGTGTTTTGAGGGTATCCAAAGTCCAAGATCTCTGTGCCGTTGTCAGCCCTACACCCCTTCCCCCCCAAGTCCAATTCCGCCAAGGCATAACCTTACCGTCTAGCAACTCATAAACCAGGACAAAGTTGTTCTTCACGGCCTCCTCGTCAAACTTGTTAAAGTATGCTTTGCCCAGTGCTATGAGGCGGTATAGGAACTCAAACACCAACGCCGCATTCGCATTGCTCTTTGTGACCGCAACCAGATAGATGTTTTCGTGTTTGACATGGCTGAAAGTCGTCGAGCCCAGTGTCAGGATTGGCGACCGCACCTGCGCATTCGATATCACCTGTATGCGGAAGACGTCGGCAAGGCGGGGACGGCAGTCGTTGCGGAACGCTCTGAAAATGAGGTTTTCGCCCTTTTGATTGAAGATGAGTATACCGGAGAGCATCTTGGGCAGGTGGGAGAAGCGACAGTCAAAAGCACACGAGAATCCGCCTAGACAACTTGGGAGCTGATATATGGTCATGGCTGGCTGCTCCCCTGGAGGTAGCTGTTACCTCCGTCGGTGATATATCGGGTTAACTCACGTATCCGGATCTCATTCGAAGGGGTTCACATAACAACACAGATGAAAGTGTTCCACATATCACACGTTCATCCTCTGCATACGCTTTGCATCGATTCATGCAATAAACAGGTGCATATCGTAACAATGGTCGCTCCTAGGTGCTGTATACTGACGCAACGAAACTCTCATAGAAATTGGAAATGCATGATACAAGAATTGCTGAGCCGGAGGGATTTAGATAGAAGCCGGCTACAACGTTTGGCCACCAGCCGAAAGGTATCTCCCAGAATAACATCATCAATGCCTGCCATTTATATCAAGTCCCTCTTTGTGAATTCGCTGTACAACGTCTTGCCGAGAGATGCTGGGCTTCGCTCGACTACAACACCGGCGGCCTCGAGAGCGGTGATTTTGGAATTTGCATCTCCTTTGCCACCACTGACAATCGCTCCAGCATGACCCATTCGGCGACCAGGAGGCGCAGAGATGCCGGCGATGAAGCTGACAACTGGCTTGTTCTCAGTGTTGTACTGCTTTAGGAAATCGGCAGCGTCCTCCTCAGCCGAGCCGCCAATCTCTCCGATCATGATGATTCCATCCGTTTCCTCGTCCTTGAGGAACACATTCAAGCAGTCAATAAAGTTGGTTCCAGAGAAGGGATCACCACCGATACCAACAACGAGTGATTGTCCTAGACCGGCCTGAGTGGTCTGATTGACGGCTTCGTAGGTCAGAGTTCCGGAACGAGACACGATACCGACGCGTCCACGCTTGTGAATGAAGCCGGGCATGATTCCAATCTTACATTGTCCCTGTCCGTAGCGTAAGCGTCCAACACCTAAAGTCCACGAACAAAGGCACCTACTGGAGCAATTATACCAGGGCAGTTAGGGCCGACAAGACGAGTCTTGCTTTGTGATTTCAGCATATCAGTAATGCGAACCATGTCTAGTCGAGTCAGTTCAGATGTACGGCAAAACTGTGTCTTATCGCATACCATGCTGGGGAATTCCCTCAGTAATACTAGGGGCACTTAGCTTCTCACTTCAACCAGAAGATTATGTTTGACTGCTTACCAAACGACTAAGGGAATCTCTGCAGAGATGGCTTCTTCAATACCAGCAGCAGCCAATGGCGGACTATTAATGTTAGCATCTGAGCATTGATCGCGCCTGTAGAGCTTCGTACGGAACGAAGATAGCTGATGCATTGGCTCCTGCTTGCTTTACAGCTTCTTCTACATTCTTAAAGACAGGCTTGCCAAGATGCTCCGTCCCAGCCTTCTTTGGGTTTGTGCCTCCGACAATGTTCGTGCCTGAGCAGTCTTTAGTTCATATGCGCATTGGATGAAAGGGAGTCAGGTTTCAGTACCGTATTCGATAGCTTGTTGAGCATGGAAGCTGCATACTTGTCAGTAATGCTTCGCGTCAATTGGATTCTTTTTACGTACGTTCCCTGACGACCAGTAAAGCCCTGGTAGACCACTTTGGTGTCGCCGTTTATCCTCAGATTCTGAACCGTTTGAGCATATTGCGAAGACCCAGTTGCGTAACCCTGCTTGCGGACAGCGCTCTGCACGGCAGAGGAAAGGGGACGACGGAAAGCCTGCATCATGAAGCTTGCCAGGAAACGGAACAGGCTCGAGAGGAAAGGAAACAGATGTTGAGTTCGGCGATCGTTGCGAGATGCGAGATACCCGAGGTGCGGTTGGTTTGAAGGTTTGTCACTTGCTCGTCGGAGGTTCCATTCATGCCCGCAGCCTTAGCGTCGTTTTTCTAGATAAGTTTCGCCCTGGACAAGGTTTACCGCCGCCCAGACTTCAATCCATATATAACAGCACCATCAATATTCGCGCATCCAAACAGCAAACAGCGCAAGTGCGCCCAGCACATCATGGCCACAACGACCCTAACTGAGACTCGGACAAAGGCTCGAGGGCCGAAGCCAAAGAGCAATGTGAAATTGGCACCCGAGAACGAGCGTTACATGAGGGCATGCGCCGACATTGCCAGTGCCTTGATAGACGATTATGAGGCTCAGGCTGACGGGTCAAAGCCTAAGAAGGACCTCAATCTTAATGCACTTCGAGGGCAAATTGCAAAGAAGCATTTCCTGAAGAGTCAACCCCCACTAACTGCTATCATCGCTGCCGTACCAGAGCACTATAAGAAATACATATTGCCAAAGCTAATAGCAAAGCCGATACGTATGCTACCACTGTTCTCTACTTGAGTTTGTACTGACTACCTGCACAGGGACATCATCAGGGATAGCAGTTGTAGCTGTGATGTGCAAACCCCACCGGTGTCCTCACATATCTTATACTGGCAATATATGCGTGTATTGCCCCGGAGGTCCAGATTCAGATTTCGAGTATTCTACGCAGTCATACACAGGCTACGAACCGACGTCAATGCGAGCGATTCGTGCCCGTTATGACCCTTATGAACAAGCGAGAGGAAGAGTCGACCAAATAAAGTCCCTAGGCCATAGTGTAGACAAGGTGGAGTACATTATCATGGGTGGCACCTTCATGTCATTGCCAGAAAGCTACCGAGATGAATTTATATCGCAGCTCCACAACGCCCTCAGTGGATATCAAACGAATAACGTAGACGAGGCCGTCGCCGCTGGCGAGATGAGTAATATCAAATGCGTAGGCATAACCATAGAAACTCGCCCAGACTACTGCCTGGACCAACATCTCTCAGCTATGCTCCGCTATGGTTGCACACGTCTCGAGATTGGCGTGCAATCTCTCTACGAAGACGTCGCTCGAGATACAAATCGCGGCCACACCGTTGCCGCCGTTGCCGAAACATTCCGGCTGGCCAAAGATGCTGGCTTCAAAGTCGTCTCACACATGATGCCCGACCTACCCAACGTGGGCATGGAGCGCGACCTCGACCAGTTCCGCGAGTACTTTGAGAACCCAGCATTTCGCACCGACGGCCTCAAAATCTACCCCACTCTCGTCATCCGCGGCACAGGGCTATACGAGCTATGGCGCACAGGGCGATACAAAAACTACACCCCAAACGCCCTCATAGATCTCGTCGCGCGGATCCTAGCCCTCGTCCCGCCATGGACACGCATCTACCGCGTTCAGCGCGACATCCCCATGCCACTCGTGACCGCAGGCGTCGAGAACGGCAACCTACGCGAGCTCGCACTCGCACGCATGAAGGACTTTGGAACAACCTGTCGTGACGTGCGTACCCGCGAAGTCGGCATCAACGAAGTCAAGAACAAGATCCGACCCGCCCAGGTCGAACTTGTGCGTCGCGACTACTATGCGAACGGGGGCTGGGAGACCTTCCTAGCGTACGAGGACCCGAAGCAGGATATTCTTATTGCCCTGCTACGACTGCGCAAATGCAGCACGACGCATACCTTCCGGCCGGAGCTGACTGGCCAGCCGACGAGCTTGGTGCGTGAGCTGCATGTGTACGGGAGTGCTGTGCCGGTGCATGCGCGTGATCCGAAGAAGTTCCAGCACCAGGGGTATGGGACCTTGTTGATGGAGGAGGCGGAGAGGATTGCGCGGGATGAACATTGGAGTGAGAAGATTTCTGTCATTTCAGGCGTTGGGGTCAGGTCGTATTATGCTCGGCTCGGGTACTGGCTGGACGGACCATATATGTCCAAGATGATCGTTCAAGAAGACGACCCGTGAAGTATATGCGGGGATTTCTCTGGCTCTATCGAAAAGGAAGTGGACAGGCGTTCTGCATTGCTGGCGTAGATTTTGATAGTTGGACATTCAGAGCAAGGTGCAACAATCTGCATTCAGATGAGACACGAGAACATTCGAACAGTTCATATGGGAGAAAAGTTTATCTGGCGCAGTGCATCATACACTGCCTGCGCACCTCCATCATTCTTTCGCTACATTGCTGGCCTGCAGCTATAGCAATGCTACAAAGGTGCCTCGTATCTAGAATGAGGTTCATCCTTGACTCCTATTACGCCTCATATCGAATAACGCCCCATAAGCTAAATGACACCCTTACCACAAAAGATGAGACTTGAGCGTGACAGAATCACAGACATAAAATACCACGGACAAAAATGAAGTAGTCTATATGCTACTAGTAGTGTGAGACTTCGTGCTGATTCAAAGCGCTCCTTTTAGGGGGTGGAGGAGGTGGTGGAGGCTTCTTCCCACTAGCACCTACTCGTGGAGCAGGCGGAGGCGGAGGCGCTCGTTTGTAACCAGTAGCTCCAGTCTCTCCTGTAGCCCAGCTGGTGCTTCTCTGGCTACCATATGAAGTGGCAGGTGAGGGTGAACGATCTCGGAAGGGGCTACTACTTCCATTCACAGAACCATCTGAAGGGTAGTTACCATTGTCGGTGTCAACTCTGGGTCTATGAACAGGGCGTAGCTGTGTGCGACTCGCAAGGATTGACGTTGGATCTGTCGGTACTTTTGACAAGCGAGGCATGGGTGCTGGAGATTCCTCTCGTGGGGTACTTGATGGACCCTCGAACGTAGTCGATCTCTGATAGTTTGGTCGCCCGATATAGCGATCAGGGCTCTGTGTTTCGTAGTTTGTGGATTGACTTCGTGTGGTACTTCTTGGTATAGTGATCCTGGGCGGCGCGGGCAGAGGCTCCTCCTCAATGCCATTGAAGCGACTGTCGTAATCATGTGCTGTATTAGACCGTGACCGTGGTCCTCTTCGCGATTCACCAGATGTGCCGACTGTAGATCTGTTTCCTGTTAGTCACAATCGTCTGCACAGCATCTTGGTTATAAATCTTACACAACAGGCCATTCTCTTTTGACTTGTAGAAGGACCTCACGGCAACGATCGTAGTAGGACAACTCTGCTTCCAAGAACGTCGTCAGATCTTGCACACTGTCCGCCTCAGCTTCTTTTATATCTTGCATTCGCCTCAGAACCTCATCACTGGACTCTTCGTATTTCGCCTTCTGAGATCTGAGCTCTTCTTCGGTACGATAGTCCTCCTTCTTGGCTTTCTGCATCTTGGCAAGTGAAGTATCGTATGCTAGTCGTCGAGCCTCAAGCTTCTTGCGAGCCGCCTTGGAAACTTATCAGACCGTCGCTCATACAAACTCCATGTAGACTCACTCACCTGGTACTCTTTCATTTGTGCAAGAGACCTCTCTGCTGACTCCAACCATGTACTCGTGGCCTCCGAGACGTAATTTTCCTGGACGCGAGCAATGCGCTCATTGGCTCTTCCCAGAGCTGTCTGTGTTTCAGTACAATGTTGATAATATGTTGATATTATGCACTCACTCTTCAAACAGTTGCCAAATTCCGAGTCTGGTTCGAAGTCGTCACTGTGGCTAACCATTATGGAGCCAAAGGCACCTACAGGCATGGCCTTTTCCTTGTCATCAAGCTCACTGCGCTTATTCAGGTATTTGACGTAGGCATTGACGGATTTGTGCATCTTGTCCATCCCTTTTAAGAGATTAGCATCCTGCAGGGGCACTCCTGTAGCCGCGACGGAGTGACAAACCGTCATGTCTCAACTGCATTTCTTGTTCCAGATCCTTAAACTCATCTGAGGTGTTGGTCTTCACTTCCCCTCCCATCCGCTCTCCAGCCCATTGCTTGAAGCGATCGAGTTTCTTGTTGACATTCATATTTGCAAAGAGTAATGGTGGGTGCTAGAGAAAAAAAGGGACGATATGATCGGAGTGGATAGGGAAGTCGTGTGGTCTTAAGGGCACCAAATTGCTACGAGGCCGGTGGCGTAATGGTTTCAACAGTGAACCGGTATTGCTTTGGAGTTGGGGCGGGGTGAGGTTTGAGGGGTCTCCGGGTATTAATTGGCAGAGGCCTTCAAAGAACGAGCGAGCGAGTGACAAAGAAATAAGTTGTTAAACGACAGATAGACAAAGACAGACAACGGGTTGCAGTGTGAAGGGAGGAAGTGAGTAAAATATTTTTCAGAATCAACGGCCAGACCTCTTGTAACTAGTGTATTATTCACAGTTTCGAAATAGCTCTATCGGACGTGCCAAGCAAAAAGCGGATCAGATAATTAGTCGCTGGGAGGGAAGGAACAGGTAGGCTGAGCTAGCCATAAAGACCGCAGGGCGTACCAAGCCACCGGGGCCTGAGGTGCTGCAGGGCGGCAACCCACGCCTGCCGAATCAATCGCGCGCCCGGTCAGGCCTTCAACGGTCTACCAGCCCAGGGCAGGTCGGGCGGACCGATGGATTATCTCGCCTTGGACGACTGACGACCTGCTGGCCCTGTTGAGGTTACTACAATATGCGCGCGTCTTCGTCTGTCCAACCATTGATGCTGAGCATGATGTACACATTGATTAGCTCTAATAATAGCTTGGGCACCTCCGAGACGACGGCTGCGGAGGATCCCCGACAAGTCTTGGTGTGATCCTGCAGCAGTTTACCACTCAGTGCTCACTGCAATGCCAAGCACCAGATGTTCGTTCCGTACATAGGTGTCATTCATACTTTCTGCTTAATATTGTCTGGCCTACATGTGGACCTCTGTCGTCATGAGACGGGAACGAGACTCCATGTACTGATATGACATGGCGGGGACAATCTCACGTCGGGCATCATGGTCCGGTTGGAATGCTCATAATACCATGCATTTATTTTGTCAGGTAGAAGAAACAGCGCTGCCTGGGGTTCCCAAATTTTGCAGCAACTAAGAACACCATAAGCCATGCACCCAGCACCCTTAATTCCCTTAATCCTTCGTCTTCTGGGTACCACGGAGCAGACCAGTTCTCCGCGCGGCAATGAGACCAGCTTTTTGACCTTGGGCAGCGAATCGAGAGATGGTAGACGCTTTACCAATATGCTGGTGGTTACCACCACCGTGAGGCTGCACGAATACATGTTAGTATCTTCAACTTGAGTCCAATGTGTGATCCTTACATGGTCGACGGGATTCATGGCAACACCACGTGTCTTGGGCCATGAGTTGCGTTTGACAGCGAACTTATGCTTGGCACGCGAGGCCTCTGTAATTATTGCGTTAGCCAATGCCCATCCTGACGGTCCGGACTGAACATACTGAGCATCGGCTTATCTGTTCGGCCACCTCCAGCAACGATACCGACCATGCCACGAACACTGCTCTTGACGACCTTCTTAGCACCACTGGGAAGCTTGATTCTGGTCTTGCCCTCGTCAGGGTTGTGTCCAATCACGGTGACGTAGTTTCCGGATGTACGGCCAAGCGCACCACGGTCTCCCACCTTCTCTTCAACGTTTGTAACGACGGTACCTTCGGGGACAGAGCCTAGCGGTAGAACGTTGCCGACAGTCAAACTGGCATTCTTTCCAGCGTAGATGAATTGTCCAGTGTACATTCCCTCGTTAGCGATGAAGGTCTCGGTGCGGAGCTTGTAACGGTACGGGTCTCGGAAGGTGACTTGTGCGAGAGGAGCTCCACGACCGGGATCATGTATGATATCCTTAACGATACCACGGACATATCCATGACGCTCAGAGTAGTCGAGGACGCGGAACTTCGCTGGGGCCTTGTTTAGGCGTTGATGGGCTGTGAAGATCGAGCCGCGACTACGATCATGTCAGTTATACCGCCAATAACTGCATCTCTTTAAACTGACCCTTTCCTCTGATTTCTAATAACGCGACCCTGTGACACGTTAGCAATTGTGCCTCGATAACTTTCGTAGATGAGTGGAATCAAGCGCCCAGCTCCAATCGCATCCTCGACCGGCTATGAAAATATGTCGACCCGAGGAGAATAGATACTGTCGACCTGACCCAGTGTATCCTGTGCTGAACGTACCATCTTTGCTGTCGCTTTGTCGTCGGATTCGTGATGCGAGGAATAGACCTTGGTGGTAGTTGTGGGTGAGTGCAAATTCGCTTATCGGCTGCTTCTCGGTAATTCGAGGCCAACAAGAGCGAACCCCCCGGACCCACTTACATCTGCATTATCACTATATACCTCATCACCATTCGCATCGTCAATAAAATAGACTTCCTACTGAAAGATTAATTTCGGGAGCCTTTTAGCCACCGCTGACTGTAGTGCTCTTGCATAAGAGCCTCAGCCGCCTTCTAGATGCCAGGCTATGTGCGAGAACTTACCAAGGTTTAACAATCCAGGATGCCTTCGTCAATATGTAGCTGCATAGTAATGCTCTCGTTTTAGGGCTCTTGTTCCGTCTCATGGCAGCTAATCGTTCGTAAAGCATCTGTAATACGATACAAGTGCAGTCGACTGCTTAGACGCGCAATCAGCAGTAGTGGCTGTAGTGAGAAGAGATTCACACGGTGTCACCTCTACTGATACGATACTGCAAACTATGCCATCACTAAAGGAGCGATGCGAGAGACTTATGATGTTATTCGAAGGTGGTAGAAAGCCGAGATTCAAGAGCTTGGGAAGAGTATGGACGTAGAAATTGATGCCAACGGGGCTCTTAGCTGCTGTAAATTCCATTACGAGCCGCTCGTGCTCAATTTTGTATATTTGCGCCTGACTTGCAGTATACACCTGTTCATCCAGCAGACTCTTCAAGATCGATTGGTACGCGACAAAACGACAGAACTCTTGTCACCTGCATATGAGTAGGGCCCTTACCACACCGGGCGTTCACACAGAGGACACTGCGTGGCCTTCTCCCGAACCGCTGTCTGGTGAGTGCGTCGATCTCACCTGTAAGGACTCCAATAGCGGGCACGCTCAACAATACTACACGCGCTGCAGAATATGCGATACTGGCTAGTGCGGAAGTTTGAGCTATTGTACAATGCAAATACATCGCATGCTCTATCTGTTTTGAGCAGATATTGAGACAAGTAGTCCCATTTGTGTTTCCATTTGTGTTCTTACCTTTGCGGAAGGAATACTTGGAATCATGCCGAAGAATGCTTCTAGCGATGAATGCGCTTTGACTATGTAGTGTGCACTTCTTACAGAACAAATAATCAAAAAACCGTTACACGTTCATCCAGCTCTCAATCAGTGTGCCATAGCCCGTTCAATCTGGTAATATTTGATCTGCACCAATACCGGGTTCAAGTTGGCCGCCGTCGCTTGACCTAAGCTGGAGACAACTGCAGCTCACCTCCCTTCATCCACCTCAGCACTTTCTTACCACCCACCACTACGACGATGAGCGACACCGATTCTTCACTTTCGGAGCCACCTCCTTCTGATGAGGAACTTGAAATTGAAGATATTGTCCAGCCTGCGAAAAAGTTGAAGCTCAAGAAGTCGAAGCGCAAGGTTGACGAGGACGACGATCTCGATGCGGAAGATGCTTCTCCAGCAAAGAAGAAGCGCGCAGCTTCGCCGCCACATGAACTCGTTTTCGAAGACAATGCTGATATTGCCGTAAGTCATTGGCGCGTAAATCGCGTCGCCATCGACGTGATTGCACGCCGGCCTCGCTCCCCAAGCTCGTGTCGCGCTGACCATCTCTATCGCACAGTTCATCGTCATGTTTAGAGCACGCTTCGCGGACGTTTTCCCTCCGAAAGGCGTGATAAATTTCGGTCCACAAGATCTTGAGAGGGCGGTTACGGATTCCCCGCCTGGTCCGATGGCAGAGAACCTCCTGTGCTCGCTCCTTTACCTCGTCCTGAACAGACAAAAGCCTCCCGAGTTAGTCGTCCCTAACTGTTCACTTATATACACCTTGTTGCAGCCAGTGCACAGCTATATCTTATACTGGGAATTCCTACTGACGATCCAAATGCTATAGGAGAGGTCATTATGGGCGCGCCTTGGAAGAGGCTATCTCGGCAAACAGAGCCCAATGGCCAAGAGTATGGAATGGGACCAATCCTCTGTTGGGAGCGAATAACTTCATCACTATGAGCCCTATCGAACGTGTGAGATCTATGCCTCTATTGGTACCACCCTGCTATAGCTGACCATCTCTATATAGCTCATCCTTCTGAAGACATTGATTCACTGGAGTCTTAATGAATCGACAAAGATCAAGGACATGATCAAGGAAAGCTACAAGCAGGCCCGTCATGATGACGACAGGAATCAACCACTTTCCGTACAACCATGGGGCCGCGATAGTGATAAGCGTCGTTACTGGCTGATCGAAGGCAAGGACGACACAGTCTTTCGATTATATCGTGAAAGTAACCCAGCACTCAAAACGAATGTATGGATAAGCGTTGCAGGTACCCTCGAAGAACTACGTACCCAGGCGGGCAAGCTGGGGGAGGAGGGCTCTCAGGCTGCTCGCAGGCTAGCGGAAAGTATCAAGAATGGTATCATACGCCTGGAAGCCACAGAAGAGGTGTGTAGAACAGTAAACTTCTCGCATAGTCACAGGTAAACTGACTCATAACTAGAAACGCAAGCGGCGAGAATATCGTCAATCACGGAAGGCCCAGTTCACACGGCCAGAGCCTGGATTCTCCCTATACGAAGGTCGCACTCGTGGCAAACGCATGAGGTATACTTTCTCGGATGAAGAAGATGACGCATCAGAAGCTGGCTCAGGTGCGCGATCTACGAGATATCGAGGACGGGACTCATCTACCGACCCTTCAAGACCAACTGTGACTGCAAGCGGCCGTCAGGTTCGAACACGACAGCACGGTGCTTACGGAGAATCTCTCCTCAGTGGTCAAGTTACCGGAGACGTAGGCTCACCTGCCACGGATGGCTCAGACGGGCTTCAACGGCCATCACATGGAAGAGCCACCCGCGCGGCTGCTAAACCTGCGGCGAATGGTTGGTCCCGGGGCAGCAGGAACAACAGGAACATTGACACGTATGATTCAGATGAGATTGACGAAGACGATGGTGCGTCTGTATCTGGGAATGAGTGGGATGATGGCGATGAAAGCGACGACGAGGTCAAAGCTAGAGACGTCTCCGACGAAGACGAAGACATGAGCGACGCCGAAGCACCAAGTCTTGTCACAGTATTGAGATATGGGGAGGGGAAGGAGTTCACCGCCAACTCCACGTCTGATACCAACGAAGACAAAGAGATGACACAAGTCGCGGCACCGCCTTCAGCGCGTACGCAGGAACCCAAAGCCTCATCTGCTCAGACTGCTCGGCCTGAGTCACGCGTGCTGAACCGAAATGGACAGCCTGTATCCGAAACCGTATCAACGGCACCCGCCGCACCCACTGCAGGTACAGCGCCAACTCTTGTCGTCCCCGCTACTGCGCCCATTGTTACCACTGCAGCTCAAGTAGAAGATAGAGTGCCACCCCCGGCGTCTCACGCTTCTCCCCCTCGCATTGCCTACCCGCTGACTAATTATGCTGGCCCAGCGAACGGGTTCACGGCCACTCCAGCAATCGCATCGCCTCCGGCTCAATATGCGAAGCCTTTGCCTGTTTCTCAATACCAAGCTTCACAGGCGTATCCTCTGACCGGCACTCCTGTACACACGTCACCGACACAAAACACCAGTGCTGCACAAAATGGACTTCCCCCCCTGGCAAGCCTCTACCCAAACCAAGCTGCCTCTCAGGAATAGCCTCAGCAATATCGGCCATACCTGTGACTCGAAAGTACAACATTACATCCTCCGCCCAACGTTTAGTGGGCTGGTGCTGGAGTAGTGTAAGATTCATGGACCATTTGAGCGGTGTTAAATCGGTCGGCTATCTGGGAACGCACTTTGGCTCAAGGTGTATTCAGACTCATAGACCCCCCCTTAATCGCGTTCGTCATCCATTTATGACATAGACACGTCAAGCTTACAGAGAAGACTCTTTTCAAGCGGGTCTCGTGTTCTCATTGTACTGACTAGGATCGTTTTTTGGCAGACGGATTATATGAATCGAAACAATTTGTTTTATTGGATCTGATCTGCAGGCATGACGGAATTTGCTTGCTTACATGTATTTTACATTTGCGCGAAATATTATAATGTTCATGCCCTTCTGTGTCGCCCCCTATTGATCTCGTTGTGATCTTTTAATAAGGTAATAAACAAAAAGACCAGCTCGCAGCGTCACCATGGTACATACCCTCTGCGGCTGCATGTCCGGTGCTGTGGTCTACGACTCTTGTCTCTACCAAAGACATCTAATGGTATCTAATGAAAGCTGATCTTTCTGTTATGTTGGAATGTGTCCCACACAAATCCAAACCATTCATTTACGTACCGATGCCTCCCAAGGCCAATGGATGTGTGGTCTCGACTGGTGCTGAGTATACCCAAGCTCGACGTCCAGCCTACATGTAATACAAGATTAACGGGCATGGAGACGCGCGGCTCTAGGAGAAAGTTAACGAGTTATCACGCTTTTCATGTTGATTTGTTTCTTTCACTATCTGCATACAAGTTTCCTAGTCAAATATGCTTATGCAGATGTCCATGCTAGATTCCGCTTGGCATAGGCCCGGGCATCGCCCATTCCGCAGCATCCCTTGAGCTCGTCACATTCACGCTCGGTCCAGGCCTAGATCTATACCTCAGATCAGAACTCCTGTCTCTAGTCCTCTCATGACCACTCCCCGCGGCCCGCGGCCGAATGCCAGCGCGTTCCTCTGCCTCTCTCAATCTCTGGCCTTCGGCCTCCATCCTCTCCGCGAAACCGGTCTGTGCACCGCTTTCTGCTGTGCCTCTCCTTCGCAGTGCAGCGCTGCTTCGTCTACGTCCCCTCGTTCTTGGTGTGCCCTTTCCGAGTGGGGTTCCCAACTCGTCCAGGTCGTCCTCGACTGCCAATTCGTCGTCGTCGGCGCCACCACGCGTATTCTTCTTGCGGGGCCATAGATTGGGGAGGATGATCTGCTGGAAGCGCGGCTCGACGACGCGCTCGTCAAACCAGGCATGGATACGTGATTCGACGAGCTGTGCTATTTTGGGCACGTCTTGGAGGCGCGAACGTGAGCCGACGAGGGAGCGGACGGAGAGATCGAGGCGGTAATCGTCGAGAAAAGTGAATGCGAGAGTGGTGGGCGGACGGGCTGAATTGGGGTCAGACTGTGTTTGGTATGGGGTTTGTGAGGTGGGTTTGTGGGGTGGATGGGCAGAATTTGTGGGTGTGTAGGGCAGATCAGACTCAGGTGCGGGCGAGGAAGGTATGAATGAGAGTGCGAGCTAGGGCATGTAAGCAGATTATGTGTGAAGAGGCTTAAAGCAAGACGTACAGTTCCACTGAATCTTACAACGCTTACGGCGAGCGCAACAGGAAGCACTGCGACCAGTGGCTTCGGATAATTCAGTCTGAGCGTGGTCTCTACACCTAAAGTGATGACATCGCTGAGGTCCACATCCATACGTGCCTGGAGTCTTCCCCCTTCTCCTCCAGCACCGTCAAGTGAGCTTCCAAGCCCGCCTTCTTCCACGGGTATGACCCTGCAGTTACTGAAGATCGGAAACTCATCTCCCAGGGCAATCTCCGTGATCTTGATGTCTCCTACAAAATCTGGTTTGCCAGGCCCATTCATGACCTTTGTGAGTGATGTGACGACAGCATCATCCTGTCGGGCATCAGCTCGCAGTTGTGCAAGTGTCTGCGCAATCAGGACGTTGAACCAGTCCAGGCTTTCTGGCTGGTGGCCATGAACATTATAGTATGTTTTCGCAAGGATTGAGGCGGCAGTTAGAGGCGCAGGAGGATTCCTCAGTACAGACGAGGCTTTCCGTCGGAGGGACACTGAGGCGGTGCGTTGATGTGCAAGTGTACGTTGTCGGCGGAGGGAGGAGAGATGGAATGCCCGTTCATCGGCGGGGGGAAGCTCGCCGAAGATGAAGAACTTTATAAAGAATATTATGAGAGCGACTATCGAAAGCTGGCCGACGAGAAAGCCCTGGGTAAAGGAAAGGCTAGAAGTTTCTAAGTTATATTCATCTCCTACATATTGACGGGTATGAAAAGCACACGCGGTTGGGGATGGGTACCTCGACGCCTGAGTTTGGGGTGGCTCTAAAATACAGTCAGTCAATGCTTCCATGGTCTAGGCTATCAGAATTGATTTACCCACTGAGCCTGCCATGAGGGTTGTTATTGGTCGTCCATTGTTCTGCACCAGCGGAAGTGGGCATGTGTTGCTGAGGTCTTCGGTATTCTCTAGTACCGGCAGTAAGCTGTGATGCCTGCAGCCGCCTAGCTCACCGCCCTCATGCTTGGCGTAAACCTGCGGCTCGGCATTATAGCATAAGAATCGTTTGCAGGTAATAGTGGTTTCATGTCTGATATAAGGTGAAGAGATCAATGTAACGCGATCTAGATACGCCATAGAGAATTCTATTTACTTTTGATTGTGGAAACCGCACTATGTAAGACAACAAACATGGGAAGAAGCTTGCGAAATAATATACAAATCAATGTTCGCGCTCCCTGTCAGCGCGGCCTGAAAATATAAATCCTTTGGAACGTGATGTAGTCTCTAGAAGCCTAGGCGTTCCTGATCGCACAACTTCTTGTTCGCGATGACTCAGACGAAACCGTAAAATAAACCCAAGCACCGTCCCAATGCAGCCAAATCCATGCCCGCAATACACACTTTACGTTGCCGTGTATAGTTATACAAGAACTTCCAATTGCCTAAACCGCCTCTCCCGAACCATCTATGATGGCAAGACGCTGTTTGATTGTCTTCGCCTTTTTCGACATTCCACCCTTTCTTCGTCCTTTGCCTGGTGCTTCCACTGCGGGCACAGGTGTCGCAGCGCCAGAAGGCTTATTACTGCCATCATCGAAGTGACCCTCACCTACAAGGTAATCAGTATTTTACTGCTGTGGGACATTGGCAAAATTGCACAACTTACCTTCGTGGTACATCTCGTCTAGACTAACATCTGCCTTCCGCTTGGCCATCTTCTTTCGCTTACCCGGAGGCGCAGCCGCTTCAGCAGCCGCAAGTTCGGCCTCGCGCTTCTCAATCTCAGCCGCCTGGTCATCATCTGCAAGCCACATGGCCATGTCTTTCGTTCGGTTCTCACGAGACCTGGTGTTGAAGTCGACGCCAGCGCCAGCACCACCTGATATGACGACGCGTTGAACCTCTTCTTTCTGGAGTGCGCGTTTGCGTATACGCTCCTCGATAGTGCCCTTTGTAATGAGCCTGTAAACAGTGACTTGCCTCGTTTGTCCGAGACGATGAGCGCGATCCATAGCCTGGCTATCGATAGTAGGATTCCAGTCGGAGTCGTAGAAAATAACGGTATCGGCGGATGTTAGATTGATACCAAGACCTCCGGCACGAGTAGAGAGGAGGAACACAAATATTTCCGGCCGACTTTGGAAATCTGACACGGTATCTCGACGGTCCTCCAGCTTCGTGGATCCATCGAGCCGGCAATACTTGTAGCCGCGGTAGGTCAAGTATTCTTCCATCAAATCAATCATACGCGTCATTTGGAAATACAGAAGCACACGGTGATCACCAGCTTTTAGTTCCTTGAGCAATTGGTCCAGCTTAGCAAGTTTTCCAGAATCTGACACGAAGCGTCGCATCGACGGAACTTCGATGTGGGTATAGCCGGACTTGTTTGACGTGGGCGCCGGTAACATCTCATTTGGTGCCATAAGAGCAGTAGTCTTCTTAGCCTCTAATAAGAGTTCCTCGGTTTTCTCTGATATGCCGAAGAGATTTTGCCGGACATTGATGTTGAAAAAATCTCTCTGGTTCTCTACGATGGTACCCTGGCTCGCGCAGTAAAGCTCGACCGGTGGTGCGCAGGCGGCTGGCCTGGAGTTCAACTCGATTGTGCTCAGACCAGTGTCATCAAATGCAGATCGGTAGACGTTTAACAAGTTATCCATTCGTCCTTCGGGAGTGATCTCAGCAAGAGGCCTACGATCAGCTCTCTCGACGATGTTTAGCAATGCATGTCGGGGTGTGAAGCCTGCGTCTTCTCCTTCATCATAAACCACAGCTAGTCGACCAAGCTGTCTGTTCTTATTGCGAGCTGAGACAGCTCGACTGAAGACATCACTGCGAGCAATCTGAGCGACTTCGCTAGCCGATGCATCGACAAATTGCAACCAAGAGAATGCAGCGTTGTCCCCCGAGCTCTGGACTATATGGTCAGGTGTCCAAACGTTCATCAGGTGGTGCAGGTAGCGGTTTCTCCACCCGGCTTTATTGTTGTCCGGTCCTGGTAGATGTATCCGCCCGCCATCCCGACCAACAAGGCGTGGAACACGGTACTCGATGAGGTTTCGAACAGAATACGCTACATTGACATTATGTCCTTCGCGCATGAAAGATGCAGTTTCGGCAAAGAACGAGAATGAAAACGGCGAGGTTGTTTCCGCTCGTTCAAACAAATCGGGATGATTGCAGACCTTGCGAAATTGCATGACCAAGTTCATGAGCGTAGCACTGTCCTGCTCATCGCCGACGGCCTTTTCAATAAGATCCATGATGCTGATCTTGTTCCGCAGGTTTGTGTAGTAGGCGCGTTGTCGATGAGTGAGATCGCAGAAGACGTCTAGTTCGATTTTGTCTCCAAGCTCTTTCTGTACATGTTTCTTGATGCGACGCAACATAAAAGGCTTCAAGATCATATGTAGGCGTCTCAACTGATCCTCGTTGAGCTTCGTGTTGCTCTGGGCATGACTCTCAATATCCTTTGAAAACCAATCGCTGAACTCGTCGTGTGAATCGAACAGACTCGGCATGATAAAATGGAGTAAGGCCCACAGCTCCTGCATGTTGTTCTGGATTGGAGTACCAGTTAAAAGTAGGCGATTACGGCAATGGAAGCCTAGTAAGCTTTTCCATCTAGAGCTCTGCGATGACTTGATGGCCTGTGCCTCGTCCAGAATCATGTATTGCCATCGGATCTTCTGGAAATATTGTGCATCCTGTACGACAAGTTGATATGATGTGACCAGTACGTGAAATGGTGAGTCTTTCGTGTAGGTGATATGCTTGCGGTCCCAGAACTTGCGCAGAATCTTCCGGTCTTTTGCATTACCCCAATAGGGAAGCACTTTGACGTCGGGCACAAACCGCGTGATTTCTTGTTGCCAGTTGTGCAGTGTGGAAGCCGGCGCGATGACGAGGAAAGGTCCCCAGATGTTATGGACTTCGGCGAGATACGCCATAACTGATATCGATTGGACCGTCTTACCAAGACCCATCTCATCTGCAAGAATACCGTTGATACCTTGCTCGTACAAGTTGACAAGCCAGTTAAGCCCTTTCAATTGGTACTCTTTGAGCTGACAGTTGAGAAGTTTCGGCTGAGCTATGTCCACGTCGCCCAGGCTAGTCGGGTTCTGGAAGTTCATTTCGCCTTCATCGTCAAAGTTGGCCTCCTGCTGCCCTTCGTTGTTGAATGCACGAGCACGGTCTTTCGCCTCCTTGACTGCATTTTGAGCATTAGCCATAGCGGCCTGTCGGAGCGCGGTCTCGTCTTCAGCGTCGAAGTCGAGATCCTCGAAGTTGGTGACTTTTGCATTTGGGTCAGCAACACTGTCAGGCAAGTCGATTGTATGGGCATCCTTCTTGTCTTCGATCGTTTGTTTCGACACAGCGGCATCATCAGTCGAACGCTCGACCTCGTCTGTCTTGACTTTTTTGCCGATGAAATGCGAGTAAAGTTCTGTCTGGGAGATGAGAAAGTTGAGCTTGCGCTTCTGTCGATTGGCCTCCCGCTCAGCTTCGGCTTTCTTCGCATTTTCGATCTCAGCTCTCTCGGCCAACTTTCTCTGATCGCGCTCGTCCCGCTCGTTGCGCTTCCAGAAGGTGAGCATCTCTCTCATGCTTCTCTTGGCCCGAGCCTGAACATCTTTCATGCTCTTATTCGTACGCATTTGCCATCTCCGGGCTTCCTTGGAGGCCAGTTGAGCCGTCTTACGAAGGTTCGATTGTTTCGTTTGAAGGGAGTTATCTTTGATGCGGTAGACCTTAGCAACATCTTTCTTAGAGATGTCTTTCCATATCGATTCGTACAGCTGATTGTAGACCTTGGAGTCGTACCCGCTGATTGGACCGACTGGCGTGGATGATTCTTCTGTTTGACTTCGCTCATTCTTCAAGGCTTCCAAGCGAGCTTCTTCGCGAGGAGCGATGACAGGAAGATCGTCACCTCGCTCAATGGCAGCTTGTGCGGCAGCTGCTGCATCTTTCTCGGCTTGCTTCTGTTCCTTGCTCTTTCGTAGTCGAGAACCGGTACCCTTCCTCCCACCTCGCTTTGATACGCTCGATGGATCATCTGACATTTGGAACGAGCCCATAGTGCCACCCTCTAGATTAGGTCCATGAGGCGTCATTTCACGGAACTCTTTGCTAGGAGTGCCACCTTGAAGAAGATGAGTAGTTGCTTTGGCCTTCTTTTCGGCCTTCTCGACTTCTTTGAGGTATTTGGTTCTCTCGGCATCATTTTCGGCCTGCTGTGCTCGAGCAAAAGCTTCATCTCGTTTCTGGGTCTCATTAGCTAACGTCTTCTCGCGTCGTCGCTTCCTTTGCATGTCCTTCTTTCTTTCCTTCTCTTCGGCTACCTCTTGCTCGCGGACCTCAGCCCAAGCGTCCTCGCCGAAATCGTTGTTGAACTTTATCCTGGAGGTGGCTGCATGTGCTTCGAAGACGTCGATATATCGTTTGACGCCGGCTGCTCGACGGCGCTGTGGTTTGTTAGCACTTGAAGCCGACAAAGGAACGTTTGTAGGACTACGAACCTTGCGCTTGCCTGATTCTTGTAGTTCTATGGCCAAGGCACGCTTTAGTCCTCTTTGTTTGTACTCCTCTTTTTCAGCTTCCCATCCAGGGCCTTCAACGTCACTAAGATCTTTTGAGTCTATCCTCATAAGTTCCAGTTCGACGTCTCTCTCGTCAGGTTGAGGGACATGGACAGGCGGACGTTGTACCACCGAGTAGGATACGCCGTTGGCCACAGGTTTTTCGGGGCTTCGGGGAAGGACCGCCGTACTTCTACTAACGGGCCGCTCAACTTTAGGCGAGGTAGCGGCGACATCGGCATATTCTGTTGGAGCTGTGGGAATGGATGTCTTTGAAGGCTTTCGCTGTAGAGACTGAGCTGCAGGTTCCGTATCTGTACCGGACATAATACTCGAGAGAGACATTGGATCTGCTTTGCGACTTGAAGAAGCCATCTATTATTGCGTTAGTCGTTGTACCGTAAGGAAATTAATGCGCACGAACCTCTTGAGACGCTTGCCGGCTATGACTGGCTGCAGAGGGCTGGCCTGCAGTATTATTTACAGCTTGATAAACCTTGGGCGAGATGGGGGAATGCGCAACAGCATCGACGCGAGTTGATGATGGAGTATGGATTGGATGAGGGAGTGCTGATGGATGTGGATGACTTGTGGCAACGGGAGATTGGTATCGATTGTCGTATTGTGGTCGCGATTCGGCGTAGTTGTAGGGTTCCTGGGCCTATTGTCGCGGGGTTAGCTTTTGTTCAGTGGTTCAGTAGTCGGTACCAAGGAATGTTACCTGCGGTTGATAGTGAGGCTCATGTCGCGAAGTTGGTCTTACAGGTCTTTCACCGGTATCTGTTGTTGGGTCGTAATAGCGCGAGCCACCGCCTATTGAGGTTATTGGAGGTAACGCGTTCGTGTACGCAGAGTGGTGTCGGCTCGTGGGAGAGTAAGACTGGGTTGGCGAATGCGAAGGCGCATCGTTGTAGGCGGCGTGATTCGACATCTTGACGAATGTCACGGCGTGGCAAGCGTAGGGAGATGGTGTCCTTTCAAGATTCCATCTGCTTACTTGAGCGACTGAGGGTGAGACGCGGAGCGTGACGTGTGATGGCGGCCAAGCCCGCCGTGATGAGATAGTTGACGGCGATGGTGTTGAGGTTATGGGAGATGGTGATGGAATGAGATGAAAGATGAAGGATGGTTGGGATCCAAGGTTCAGGTTTGAACTAACGTGGCGTGGCCGGAGGTCGCTTGCGTTGCTCTCACGGATGCTTAAACGTGTATCTCCGTTTGACACCTGTCGGCGACGGGGAAGTCGATTATATGTATATAGGGTTTTGGGGGGAACAAAGAAGGGATGTAGGAGGCAGGATGGGAACGTCCATTGAATCGATGAATCAATATCCGTCACTGGCTCTGGCGTCCAAGCAAAGCCAACTGGTGTGCTCAGCGACAGATCCTCTCCATTCGGTCCAGCCCTGCACAGCGCGCGACGCCTGAGATACACGCGCACCTATTCTGGGAGTTTGCGGAGAGTCACTATTAATAGGGGATAGGCACATTGGAATTTAATCGCACTGTTTCTGCTCTCCGACATCTCCGATTGCTATATAGTTCTCTTGTTGTATAAGACAGCTGGTTGATGATGGCTGATTGAGCCCGTGGTCGGTTTTGGTCACGGTAGGTTGGGTGGTGGGTGGGTCGCAACTGCTCTCCGCTTTCCCCTTGCGCCTGCTTAAAGTTGTCGCATCGCGCTTTCCTACTATTATTTTTCGCGCTAGTCATTTTGCGGCCTAGCTCGGGAACGGGCGTGTAATCGGAAGCCACCCAGAAAATTACCTCGCCATCGAACCATATCGATCGCCAGGCCAGTTGTGGTGTTGCAGAGTCGTCTCTTTTTATTTTGATCTAACACAATGGCTGCCGTATACAAGCAGCTCTCCAAGTCAGGCAAGACAGATGGTGCGCGCACTCCCGAGGACAAGAAAACTAGGCAGAGGGTGCTGATGCTGAGTTCGCGCGGCGTCACGCATAGGTATGGCGGTGCACTGGATATCGATGTCCAGAAACGATGACTGACAAATCTCACAGACACCGCCACCTCATGAACGATTTGTATGCTCTCCTACCTCATAGTCGCAAAGACGCAAAGCTCGACACCAAGACGAAACTCTATCAACTCAACGAACTCGCCGAACTGTACAATTGCAACAATGTTCTTTTCTTCGAAGCACGCAAGGGCAAGGATCTGTACGTATGGATGAGTAAAGCTCCCAACGGTCCTACGATCAAGATGCACCTTTACAACTGTACGTGTCAAAGCCTCCTCATGCAACCTCCTATTTGCACATGATCTAATACCTCCAAGTAAACACCAGCGCCGAACTACACTTCACAGGCAATTGCCTCAAAGGCTCACGTCCTATCCTCTCGTTTTCCTCTGCGTTCGACACGGACCCGCATCTACGTGTCCTCAAAGAACTCTTCTCGCACATCTTCGGCGTACCAAAGTCCAGTCGCAAAACCAAACCCTTCGTCGACCACGTCATGGGCTTCACCGTGCATGACAATAAAGTATGGATCCGCGTCTTCCAGATCGGCGAGGCCGAACAGACCAAGGTAGACAAGGCGGCTGCAAAAGCCGCAGCAATTGCGAGTGGAAGTGACAAGGAGAAGAAAAGCAAAGCCAAGACTGATGAGACAGATATTAGTCTAATCGAGATTGGACCTAGATTTGTCCTCACGCCGATCGTGATCTTGCAAGGTAGTTTCGGTGGGCCAGTGATCTACGAGAACAAGGAGTTTGTGAGTCCCAACCAGGTGCGCTCAGAGCTGCGACTGGGCAAGGCTGCAAAGTTGAGAAGGAGGACACAACAGGCGACAGAGAAGACGCTCAAGCGTGGCGAACTGGGCTTGAATACAGACGGTGGGAAGAAGAAGCCGAGAGATGCCCTGGACAATCGTGTACTGTTTGCTTGAAAAATGTTCTGATATCCCGGATTCTTGCTGTTGGCTGCATTTTATGGTGTTTGGCGCTGAACAGTAGTGTGTCACAAAAAGTTTATAGAGTTCTGGAAGACTCAGCAGCGCCAATGTCGGTGTCATATCGAACAGTGTGACCCTGTATAGCAGTATAGATCCTACTTTTGCCCAAGATCACCTATCGCCATATTTATGAACTCCATGCTATGCTGTGCAAAATGAAAAGAATCAAGAGTTTGCCTACTCATCATCTGAGGCTGCTCCATTAGCCGTTGCCTCTCCCATAGCAACATCCTCGTCCTCGTCTTCCTCGTCGTCCACCACTCTTGCTACCTTTCTCGGCTTCACGGGGGCAGCGATATCATCGCCAGAACCTTCCGCCCCGCCCCGGTTCTCTGCCGGTGCATCGCCCTCGGTATCGCTATCAACCACAACTTCATCAGATTTGAACTTGCCTGCCTTCCCGCTCTTCGGTACAAGCTTCCTTTTCTTCTTTTTTCGCGGCGCCTCATCTCCGCTATCCGCTCCCGATAATTCATCACCAGGCGTCCTGCTCCGCGGCCTTCTTTTCGGTCTACGCTCCTCTCCACTGCTGGCCTCGTTCTCTGTATTGATCTCGCTGCTATCGCCCTTCTTCTTGCGCTTGGAGCGCCCCTTCCCCCTCGCGGCACGATCTGCTTTACGTGCTTCTTCCTCCGCTTGATCTTCCTTGCGACGACGATCATCCTCGATACGTTTGGCTGCTAACTCGCGATCGAGATTCTCGATCCGCTGGCGTTCTTCGGCGATTTTGCGACGCTGCTCCGCCGCCACCTCTTCCTTCCTCCGCTTCTCGTCCTCGCGCTTCTTGATTTCCGCTTCACGTGCTTGGCGCGCAGACTGGAGACGCGCAGCGTTCTTCTCTTCATATTCTTTCTGATTTTGGACGGCGCGCTCAAGTTGTTTGCGCATAGTGTTGCGTCCCATATTGGCGCGGGCTTCGATGTCACTCTTCGGAAAGGGTGGGTTCGGCCCATTCGCAATGGTGGTGAAGGAGGCGATGGCTTCATCGAGGTCGGAGGCAGCAGTCTGTACGTCTTGTAGGCTTCGTTCAGATTCAGGAGTGGTATATATGAGTTGCGCGATCTGTATTTGAACGAAGGCGATATTGAAGCGGTAAAAGGACTGGTCAGGGTTGTTGTTGACCTCAAGAGCCTGGTATAGTTAGTCGTGCAGTCCTCTGGGAAGCCAAAAGTACGAACCGTTCTGGAGTATTCAAGCGCCGACTTCATCGCTTCAAGGCTTTTCTCTTGTTTGCCCCTTGTGAGCCACACACGGCCAAGGCACGCGAGAAGTTGTGGGTCCCGTCCCTTGTCTTTGTTCAGAGCGATCTCATAGTTCTCGATTGCGCGCGTATATTGCTTCAACTCGCAATATACATGCCCGAGATTGATGAATACACTCGCCTCCTTCATGGTCTCTCGGACTTTGGTGAAAATTTGTACTGCATTGTTGAGGTCTTTCCGGTCTTCTACGAGAGCGATAGCGATTCCTTGAGCAGCGTATGCATTCTTAGGATCCAGCTGTAGAGCTTTGTCAAAGAATTCCACGGCCTTCTCGTACATTTTGCGTCGCTTGTCTTTATCTTGCTCAGTGTCTCTGCGCATCTCTCTCGCAATCGTCAAGTATATGTTACCCATTCCTACTAGTGAATATCTATCATGTTTCTCGTGGTTTTGTAGAGTATGTCGGTAATGTCTTTGCTCCTGATCCTCTCCAATATTCGCCGTACGTCTCTTCGATCCGTTGAGGTAAAACCCATAGAGCGCACGAACTTCCAGGTTAGACGGCTCAGCCTGGAATAGCCTCTGCACTGCTTTCGGTCCATCTCCAGTACCATCTTGCTTCAAGTTTATGTATGCAAGGCGCGTTATCGCATCTGTGTAGTCTCCGTGTCGCTCGAGCAGACCCTCGTACACCCGTTTAGCCTCATCGGGCATCCCCTCAGCCTCGTAAGTGCGAGCAAGATTGTAGCTTATTGTTGTTACAAGCGCATCTGAATCGACGGATGGGTCTTTGTCGCCGACCTTTACGCAGGCGGTAAGCGCTGTCTGGAACAGTTCCCGGGCCTGAGTATATTTCTCTGCTTGATAATGAAAACATGCCATGTTGTTCAGGAGTTGTGGCGGTAGAAGTTCGCGAAGAAGGGTTTTCAATTGCGCAGCGTCATTGACGTCCTCTGGTCGCTCATCAGCTGGAATGTCGTCGATAAGCATCTCCTCAACTAGCTGGAGGCACTGAAGACTCTTCTCGGGAGATTCTAATTCGTATAATCGAGCTAAATTCAGCAGAACCATATAATCAGGTTCAATTTTCTTCTTCGGATCTTTCCACGCCGCCCTGGCGCCCTCGAGTAGGCCTATAGCCTTCTTGATTTCTGTAGATTTGTCTTCTTTCGAATTCGCCGATTGCGAGGCAAATACATCCTCGGCAAAGAGAGTTCCGAGAAGAACCATAGCTTCGACGCTTTTGCTGTGCTGTACAATCTTCTCAAGTCGAAACTTAGCGCCATCAAAGTCTTGCATAAGAACTTTTATCTGAGCTGCTCCAAATTTCGCTGGTAAATATCCTCTCTCATCTCCTCCCCTAGCTTGGTCAGCCTTGGAGTAATATTCATTGGCTTTTGCTAAGTTGTCAGCATAGTGTTCTTTCCTCGCAAGAAGATACCAGCCGTCACTAGCGATTGCATGAATGTCCGTCAGGTCAATGGCTCTTCGTGCGAGCTTCTCGACATGTCCCATAGTCTTTGTTACCAAAAAATGGGACCCGAATGCAACGCAAGACAACGGGTACCTCTCGTCGAGTTTAAATGCTCTCTGAACGTATTCGGTGACGGCTTTCTTGTACGATGTTTGGAATTTGGCATCTTTCGGAGAGAATTGTGCGCTGGTGTAGAGGTAGTAGAGTCCAAGTAAAATCTTTGCTACTTTCGATGATGGATTCTTCACATGTCAATATAGATCCGTCGTACATCGAACAAGTTAATAATCTTACCAGGTCCAACGCTCGCGTCCATGCCCCTTTCGCGTCATCCTTGTGTCCAAGCTCCCAGAAACAACATCCAATACCAATGCGAGGATCCGGATCGATCAGCTCCGGCGACCTAGAAAGCACCATTTGATAGAGCTCCAAGGCTTCGCCTGGTTTCCCTAGAGCAAATTGAACTCGCGCTTTACCGAGCAAAGCCATGACGTTTTTGCCGCTCGAGGACCGGATTGCATCCTCGAAACATTTCGCTGCCTGTCTAAGAGTGTCTACCTTCTCGCTGGCCTGAGTTCCCGCCCGTGAGGGGGGCGTCAGAGAGGCTTTCAGTAGATAAAGAACACCACGAGCTAGAAAAAGTGGTGAGTAGGACGGACTGATTTTCGATGCTTCGTTCAAGGCGTGAGTAGCAAATTGAATATAGCTGTCTTTGGTCCTGACATCAGCGTCTGCGCCGTCTAATGCTGTGTTAGTATGCTTGCAACCCTTCACCTTAGCGATCTGTCTGACCTGGCCTGACTCGAGGAGAGTCTCTACATTTAAGGAGGTTCATCCAGCACAGCGCGTTCAGTAGCGCCAGACGGTCCTCCAAACTTCCACGGCTCAGCGCACTCAGACCTGTTGTGAGGACCTGTATTGCGACTTCTACTTTCTTGTGTTTGGCATACCCTAATGCCACTGCCATCCACATGTTTTTGGCCGCCTCTTCATTCTCAAGCAAGGTGCACAATTCTGTTGGATCATCTTGAATATCTTCGTCCAAAGGAACTTCCACATCTATAGTATCGTCATTCTCTGAGACTGAGACGAACACAGCCTTGGGAACATCTGCGAATCTTTTTGTGCTTCTGTGGCCGTTCACGCCGTTCGTTGGCGCGTCTCGACTTGCGGAGGCCATGGAGCCCAAGAGTGAAGGGAAGTGGAATCCTTTGTAACGACACTTTAGGTGAGCATTAGCCGAGATGTACGTCGCATTCGGTATTATATCCTCGTTTCGAAAGTGCTTGCGAGACCTGGCGGGCAGCCGGTATGAATGAATGGTAGATCATATAAACTTCTTCGCGCAGCGCTCAAGCTCACTGGAGCGCGACTTGCCAAATGCCAAGGCGCTAAGGTCCGAGCTCAGCCGGAGCTCGAAATGGAAGGGGTGAATAAACCGCAAACCACCACAATAGCCAGCCAGCTATCAATAGCACGAGTCTTGCACTTGTCTGTGTTGAGTCCTATTGATGGGCCTTTTACTACGTGTATTCCATGAACCGCTCGTTGTATCGAACTACACATCGACCAAGCAGCAGCTATCCACTGCACCAAAGCCCGCGGCGACACCTCCTTCTCCACTCTGATCACCTTTCGTCCTCAATAAGTATCCAGCTTCCCAGTTTTCTAGCACACGTCCCTTAGGTTCTTCGTCTGTCGAGCTCTCCCATAAGCAGACTCCGTAGACACCTAGTTCGCATATTACGCCGCCCCTTTGTAATTCCCCATTTCGAATGATGATATTGTCTTGCGGAGGCGGCTCTATCATCTCCATCAATATATGCGCCGGCCAATGTGACTCGGGTATCCCCTTCAAGAACTCTGGAATGGCTTTGCGATACACATTGTTGCCTCCACCTTCCCTCTGTGGTTTTAGAACGAGACGTTGAGCCCGCTCCGTATTTAGGGCCAGGGACCGCGCCTCGAGTCCAGCCTGAGATTTGTCCAAAGGATAGATCGGCGCAAATGTATCAAGTAGCCTGGGGATGTCATCTTTCAGAGCGAATCTTTCAAGGTGCGGGGAGTGAGGTGTTGCAAGGACCTGCTGAACCTTCTTGCATCCGGCAAGATGGGTCAATATGCTGGGACACTTGATAGCTCGGCTTCTTTCGAGGTGCAGTCTTGCATCCCACTCTGTTCCCGACAGATAGTCGTCGGGTGAATATCCAGCGCGGAGATACACTGTTGTCACTTCCCATTGGATATCTGAGGCATGTGGTGAGGTGTATAGCAGCGTTTTGTCGTCATTGAGATGGGTCTCTTCGAGTACACGCGCGAAAGGGAGTCTGAAAGCTCTGACACCGTGTGCCTCCAAGAGCTCGTATTCCAAATGTCGCTGATCAAAGACATTACGCTCCGGTTCTTGAACTAAGAAAATGATGCATAAATTCTTGTCACTCTTAGACGGTCCATACGCCGTATGTGCTGCTACGAGACCGCGCGTGAGTGACGCGATGGCCTGACTTTGCGGTATGGACGATTCGGTGAAGCTTGAACCATCTTTGTTAGCAGGGTAAGCGCCAGTCCGGAGAAGATATCTGTGTAGAGTTGAAACTTTGGACGATAATCCGCCGAAAGATGACGCTATCGTGTTGAATTCAACTTGCTTCAAGCCGACATTGCGACTATTTTCCAATTCTTCCACATGCACCATGTAGTCTGAGCGAAACAGACCGAGAGTCAGAGACTGCTTATAGTCAACACCGTGATTGACTGTTTGAAGCCAAATTACAGACCTGAGTGTAACCCTCCTGTTTGACCGTCATGTGCACTTCCCATAGCTTTGTAATAAAATCGTCTATACCGACTAGCCTTCGAGGACATGTCAGTGATTCCGTGTGGTAGGAATAAAATCTCAACGCTGTTACTTGTTCTTAGATGAAACGACTTTGACCAGGCATTTCCAACATATGTCCAGGAACAAATAGTGGCATGTCGAATACATCTCTGTGCATAGTGTTCTCTGGAGCTTATCTTACTCTTGTACAATAGATCCCAGCCAGTCTTCGTCCCTCGCAATAGCTGAGTACAACCGATTATAGGCGGTTTGGATACTTCGCCCTTGCTCAAAGCATGACCGCGGGAACAGACTTGGGAATATTGTTACTGGTGCTGTTGTTGCTAGCACGCCAGACGGATCTACAGTCGCGCTTATGAAGGCCGACTGCGGTCTTACGGCGAGTCCATGAGCGATCGACCAATCTTTGATGTTAGTGAGTAGATACGAAGTCTGCGTGTCGTCAAGTGCTGGTGGGTATTTCGGGAATATGGGCGATTTCATCGATGCAGTGATGATATATGGAATCAGAATAATGCTCGATGTCTTGGTCTAGGGAGGATGCAAAAGATATTTTGCAGGTAGAGGCTTCGCAGGCAGGGAGGTCTATCACAACATGTATTAATTAATACAATTCTGGGGATGCTTGGCGACCGGCGGACCGACCGAGGACCTGACGGGTCATAAATCGGATTTACATCGGATCAGCTTCGTATTAGCTAATCAAAGGGCAACCTCACCCTCACCTCGTAAGCATCGACATCAAGCCGCGGTGCTGATCACAGTATTGATACACTCCAGAATATTACCCTTATCTCTAGTATATTCCATTCCTCGCTACAGATATAGCGATGAGTGCTGCTGACAAGGACAAGAGTTCAATTGAGTAAATCTGACAACTCTTTACATAACACGACTCACATCGCTTTAGTAGAAGGTCCCCGTGTCATGAAAATGCACACTGACCCGTCATCATTTAAAAATATTGACTGTACTCACTAATCTAGACATAAGGCTTGTGATGACCGATATGATCAAAACAGTTGGCATGGATTATGTAGCCATACCTACCTACCCACCAGGTAGAGTAAAAGGTCTTGGCAAATACACTCACCAAAGACAAAAGATTTATTGAGAAACAACATACCGAAGGGCAGATCCAAGGCCGGGGGTTCGTACTCTCTCGATCCCCTACGACCGCCTGGCCGAATATAAGTATCTATTGGTCCTCTGACCGATGATCACCCAGCTTTTACATTGAATATAAATTGCCTACATGACGGACCATAAGGCTTATCGTACATATCTGATCCGCCTCTGGCCTAGAGTAGCTCGGGAACACATGTAACGACGTACCCGGGTACTAGTAAGGTCTGTCGATTCTAAATCAGTTGCCCTTTGCGTATCTTCGAGCCTTTCTAACGCTCTTATAGGCACCCCTCGAAAGCTCTCACATTCAGATTTTGCTTCTACACACTCTGGTTGGCTTTTTAATATATATACATATTTACTGCAAATCAATGATCGCATGAACTCTGTTCCATCGCTCATACAAGAAGGGACCAATCACGCAATTGGGTGTAAACGCTCCATCAGAGAGAGGCTACGCCTTAGGGTATCACGATATGCAGCCTCGCTAAGTGAATGCGCACAGTGGCGACTCAAATAAGGATGCTTGGGCCTTTGTTTGTGTCGCCATTCGCTGACTGTGGTCGCCGGGAAGATAAAAGTGGAGCAAGTGAATTCGCAAGCGCAGGGACCTTGACAGATTACGAGCCCCGCCCTTGTGCCGTTGTTTACTTGCTCATATCTGATTCTTGCTCTCTTTACCTCTTTCTCTCACAGTAAAGTCAACTCCTGAGTCTGTCTCTTTTGCAGCTTTCAGTGTCCAACCTCGCACGAACACTTGTTTTGGTTTCGACCTCCTAAATTGCCATTACCAGCCAGATCTTTTCTTTTCTCACACTTGTACAGGTCAGGCACGCAAGACGAGTCTCAACCTTTTCCAGTTCCAATGCCTCAGGGAAGTCAGGACTCGCCATTGTTAGCCTTGAGGTCAACTGGCAGAGATGAATTTCCTTCTGCTACTGCTACGTCGCAAGCTAGCCAATACGCGAACACTTCACGTCAATCACAGAACTCAGCAAGTCACTGTGAACATGATCTGTATGAGCGGCCCGGCGAACTTCCAGAGGATCCTATCATCATCACATCGAACCCCCCCAAATCGAACTATTCCCCCAATGCCGCCCCATCAGCAACCAATAATTACTTTCCGATAGATAGCGTTCATTTTCCAGGACTAAGGACAGGTGACGTTGTCATCCCTCTTACCTTTCTGAACAACTTTGCCTTCAACAATGACCCTCCTGAAGCACGCCATGCCAAGTTTGTGAAGCACGTATTGCAACACCTCTTCACTAGTCAAGATCGAGAGGAATTTAAGCTTGGCGGCACGGTCTTCGAAATAGTTCATCTGCACACAGAGAAGCTCGTCGTCGCCGGCGATCCTTTTCATGTTCTTCTATACGAAGAAAATGGAATGCTCCGGATCATGGACCTTCACGACCTTAATGCCCAGCGCGAGGAAGAGCTTAGTCACGACCAAGGTGAAGCTGCGCTCATCAAACGCGCCTTGATTGCACACCGCCAAGATAGACTTTCTCACCCCGTTCCTATTGATCCTAAGGGAAAGAAGCGGAGTAACGAAGACCTAGACATGCCATCGCTCCGAAGAATTGCCAAATATGCGGAAAGGATGGAAGAGCAGGAAGCCACAGAATTGGTCCCCTCAACAGCTCACTCCACAGACCAGCAGGACAACCATAAAGCTGTGAGCGAACCTGCGCACTCTTTTCTGCAAGTCCGGTTTCGAAAGTGTAGCCAAGCAGCCCGGGTTCTACGACTTGTTTACAGTAGGCTTAAGAAAGCAGATCTTATACCGACATTGTTGAAAGTTTCGGCAACTAGTCGACGACTTAAGAGAGGTGAAATCTCCGATGTCATTACATGTGTAATCGAGTCTCATAGAGCCGCATGGGAAGTCATAGACAAGCCGTATGCACGTGCCGAGCAAGAATACCGATATCGCCAAGGAGAGGCAGTTCCAGACGGTGACCGGGGACATGGTCTTCTAACAGAAGCTTTTTCTCGGGTGGCCCATCTTAAGACTCGTCTGTATTTGTATATCACCGCCATTGAAGGTCAAAGCTGGAGTGGTACCTTCCAAATTCAAAAGCAATGTGAGACCATCGGGAGCACTGTGAAGAGCCTCGAGCTTGCTCAGTGGTGGCTCGGTGAGTTGACGTGCCAAGAAGAGCTGGCAAACTCACGCAAAGAGAAAGCGCACAACGTTTCCCGCAAGCTTCGAAAGACGTACCATATTGGATCTACAGATGATTCCCAGGCCACTGAAGCCATAACAGAAGATCTGATTGGTATTCTGTATCATGACCGCAAGAGTTCTGAAGACTCTATTCAGTTCTCTAGCAACGAGCAGGTGCCATCTGGCAATCCCTTTACAAATCTACCTAGAAACTGTCATCTGGACACTCCACCAGCAGCCATGAATGACAATCTTGGGGAAAGGCCCGTCTCTTCATCAGTTTCTGACGAGGTCGCTGCCAAGGCAAACAGGTCTTCGAGCAATCACACTATTGCCACCACTGAACCTGGAAATAGTGGTTCGAAACCATACTGGGATTCATCGGCAGCTGAAATTGAGGCCTGGGACGTTGGTAAACTTCCGTCATTTCGAAATTTCAGATTCCTGACAAAATTGGTACACACTATTCCGAAACATGTTGTGAAAGACCTACAGTTACTATTTCGCAACACTGGTGATTCAAAAAGAGTGCGGGCTGATAGTTGTGCTCGACTCATTGTATTGCTTATGCACGGACAGCGCCCTTGTGATCCATCGGAAGAGGCCACAAGGACGGTAATTCATATCCGGATGGCCTATGAGACCGGCGACACTGGTCTATTATTCAACCCCGACACACAACCTGACTACGATGGTTTTCTTCGCGGTATTGGCAGGTCTAACACCCTTCGGGTTTGGCGCGTCTTTCTCGATATCTTTGTGAACGTTTTGCATGCATGGAAGGAACCAACAGCTGCCTACGCGAATCTTCACTCCTCTGAGAACCCAATGCCGACTATGGACCCTCCCAGTCGTCGTTCGCTCAATTCTTACTTTCGCGTTGTTGGAACATTGACCGACGATATGGCCAAGAACCAATCTATAGCATTGGAGCGGTTCCAGAGTCACATGCGTGACAGGGAACCCGATTCAGAAGACATTGAAGAACTACTGGAAAAGCGCCCAGAGTACCGAGACTATGAACATGACCTAGTCGTCCTTAATCCGATGGCTAACGTAGATGAGTACGTTGTAATGTCTCAGGACAAGAAAACTTCTAGAGACCCGCCGTTGAAACGCCACCAGGTTGAGGGACTGCGTTTCCTTTGGCGAGAGATCGTCGAGGCGAAGGAACAAGAAGGATGCTTGCTTGCTCATACAATGGGTTTAGGAAAGTCTCGGCAGATGTAAGTCGCGATATATCACACGATTTACGATTACTAAACTGGTGCCAGCATCGAATTCCTCCAAGTCCTACAGGAGTCTGCCAATTCTTCTAATACGAATATAGCACAACTCGTACCGCCACATCTTTCAGAAGTCCGAGCTTTGCTACTCTGCCCAGCATCCGTTGTGGAGAACTGGTTTCATGAGCATAATAAATGGGGTATCGAATTAGAAGTCGTCGGCGGTCATATTATCCATACTATCAAAGCTATGGGAGGTACGTCACTTACACAGTTGAGATTAGACAAGATAAGATACTGGAACACTCACGGTGGGCTGTTGATCCTGAGCTATGACATGTTTGTCGGCTACACCAAGCCGGCGGCAGAAAGTGATACCGTCTGGAAGCCAACTGCGCCAAGAGCGAAACCTGAAAGCCAAATGACCCAAAAGCAACGCGACAATAAAGCGGCGCGAGAAAGTCGTGCAAAGAACAAAGCCGTCAAAGAGGAAATACAACTTGAAGAGATCAAGACGCTGCTTCTCGACGCTCCAAATCTGGTCATCGCAGACGAGTCGCAGAGGCTGAAAAACATGGACTCAGTAATTGCACAGTGTGCTAGCAGATTTCGAACCAAGAGTCGAATAGCTCTCACCGGTACTCCGCTCTCTAACAACTTGGGAGAATATTACTCCAGCATCAATTGGATTGCGCCCGGATATCTAGGTGACGCTCAAGATTTCAAGAGGCTGTACCAAAGACCAATCGAACAAGGTCTCTACAAGGACAGTGGGAAGGCATTATTCAAGAGATCTCGAGAAGTTCTGACCGTGTTGAGGGAAACCATCCGTCCAAAAATTCATCGCCGCGAGATTACATCATTAGAGGAACACATCCCCGGCAAAGTTGAGTTCATTATCACGCTGCCACTTACGCCTATCCAACGTAAAACATACACCGACTTCGTCAGAGGACTTCATTGCGATGAGACAGAGAATAACTTCCGCATCTTCGGCTGGCTCTCCGCCCTGGCATATTTGAACACGCATCCTCAGTTTTTCCTAGAGAGACTAAAGGAACGCAAGCGCATACAACGCGAGGCCGCTATTCCCGCCATGACTACGAGAGACAGTCATGGCCGCCTACCCGACGTCAACTTGGAAAGTGATACACCACTCGCACTATCGTCATTGTCCATCCCACCAAGGCTTATGGATACACTCGAGAAAGATCTATCGGCGGTAGCAGACTTGGAAAGCTCTGTAAACTCATGGAAACTTGAAATGCTTCTAGAGATTCTTCGGTATTGCTCAACCATTAAAGATAAAGTATTGGTATTCAGCCAATACAAGACGACCCTTAGATTCCTTCAGCGACACATAGAGAACATCAATCTCCCGTGTTTCGTCCTGGATGGAGATGTGTCTCATGAGAAGCGTCTTGAAGACATCCATGAGTTTAATACGAGCGTTGATTGGTCCGTCTACCTTGTTTCAACGTTGGCTGGAGGCACAGGCCTCAACATGTATGCTGCTAACCGGGTCATTACCTTCGACCACCACTTCAATCCCGCCATGGAGGAGCAGGCCATCGGGAGAGCATATCGTCTTGGCCAGACGAAGAAGACGTTCGTTTATCACCTCGCTCTAGGTAATACGTTCGAGACTGCGCTGCACATCACGCAAGTGTACAAGCAGCAGCTTGCGGCACGGGCTGTGGATGGTCAGGCGCCGTTGCCTCAAGCAAACCACGTCAAGGAGTACCTTTTCGTACCGGTTGAGGACGGTGATCCTGGCTCCATTGTCTGCGCCGGCGCGGATGAGAGCGTGTTGGGGCCGATCTCGGCCGTCAAAAAGATCCCCATCTTGGGGGTCCTGACGACGGACGAGTATCGGCGCCTCAACCCAGAGGAGGCGGTGGATGACGGGCCGGAGAGTGTGGCGGTGGAGATGGGGAAGTGGGGGGGAAGTGAGATGGTGTTGGCCCTGCGGAGGAGGGCCGGGGAGGGGATGGAGGAGGAAGGAAGAGAGGAGACCGGGGCCCCAGCGGTCCTAGACTCCGAGTCTATGGAGGAGGACTTAGATATCTAGGTCGCCGGGGCAGGAGAGTGTACGATATGTAGTAGATAGACCGACGGGTCTCTAAACTCAAAAACATGCAGAACCTTGTCCGAGTAGCGACTTTCCGCTGCTTGTTCCATTTGTGAAGTGTTTTATTCTGTGGCCAACAGATTTTCGCGCTGCTCCCACCTTCAAGCAGAGACATACGTTGAATTACTAATTGAGGTTATTTTATACGTGCCTAGAGATGAGACCCAAGGCATAAAGAGGGTATCAGTCAACGAAGTCAGTCATGTGTGGTTGACGCCCACATTATCGCGGATAGAGGCCTACTCTACAAGAACTTCCTCTACGTTTCCGCTGCGTTTTTGATAACAATAGAGGATATATAACATTCCACTGGAATCAAGTGGCTCGGATGCTGTGTAGAGTCGTACTCACGAAGTAGACAGTCACGTTCGGTAGCACAAACATCATGAATACAGGCTTGATCTTGTACAAATCTCATGTGTGTAACGAACCTGAATTGTTCATATCCAAAGGAGCATACATAGCATTCTATGGCGAGGACGCGACACCAATCTCGGGTATATTTAGCCCACCAACTGTGTCATTCGTGATTGAGGCACTAAATGATACCTTGTATAGTCCTGCTATATAAGGATTTTCGGCTCCCGACAACCATGGTTACTGTTACCCTTATCCAGCCTATACAGTGCTATTTTACCCATAAGGAACATAATATCATGTAGGGGGAAGCGCAGGAAGTGAATAATTCGCGTTCAATACCTCAAAATTTGCCCCCGAAACGTACATGTACGCAGTTGTTCACTGTTAATCGCCTCAGATATATCGTACCCAATGCACCAGATTATGCCCTACTTCTAGTAACAGGTCTTAGCTCGAAGTAGGTAGGAACTTCTGGAATGAGTTTTCCATGTTGGAGACCTCATATTTTGGTAAGTGATTCCCAAAGCTGCTCATCTCTTCGCACCATTACACCCCCAAATACTCTTCAGGTAATTCTGTACCAACTGTGTTGGCCATCCATGTTTGTTCTCGTGTAACTCCAACATTTCTAAAATGGAATCTTGCTCCCGTTGGAGTCCTTCACCGATGAAATGTTCGCCGCACAGCTTCACGATTGCCGTAGACATTATCATTGCAGATGCAAGGTGCATATTACACAGCGCTATCCCGCATATTGCTCGTACATGATAACGTACACGTTCATCGACTTCCTTGAGTGCTTGTGCTGCTCGTCGGAGGTTGTGGATGCCACCACCGGCGGATGGGTAGCCAGTCTGCAGGGACGGGTCGTGTGACACGAGGAGGATGAGGCAGACGTGTAAATGCATGGCGCTCATAATTTGGATGGGGCGGTGGAAGTAGATCAATGGAAATGGGCTGTCCGGCGGTGGTTTCTCCTCGTACATGGGCTTGAAGTGCGTTGGTTGAAGGGCGTCCCATTTCTTCGCGTACTCCATATGTCGGTTCCATTCACCTTGGCTTTGTACCTTATCCTGGGTATCATTGCCGTAGCAAAAGGCTAGAATGTCCATACAATGCAAGATTATACGGAAAGCCCATGTGCGATCGTCTGCAGGTGCAAATGAACGGTCGAAAGCGCTATCGAGATCTAAGAATGGTGCGGTCGGACGTTGGGCCATGAGTGCTGCAGTCACTTCTTGATGCAACGCAATGCATATGGCGGCTTGGTGTAGACCCCCGTTCGCGATGGCAGCGCTCATCTGTGCATTCATGAGAAGCTGTACGCCCTTGAGTTGGCGTTCGTTGTCGTATCCCGTGAGTGAAACTGCGACTGGTCAGCTCGTTCGATGTCCGCAGCTGCATAAACAAACCATCAAGCTCTTCTAGCAATCTGAGGACGACCGTCGCACATAACAGGTCGACGTCGTTGATCGCATTTGATTCTCGGACCATTGGAGAGATTGCATCGAGCACCTTCCGTGAGTACCCGTCGGACACATAGGGATCAAAATCACCGATGCGACTCAGATGCCGCGCCGAAAGCGCAAAGATAGCTTGTTGAAGTGTTGGGCAACTCGCCGCCCGGTAAGGCAAAACGAAAGTAAAATGCCGGTCTGGGTCAAGCACATCCATGAACTTACCAATGACTTGGACATAGTGTTGCATGAGATAAGCCTCTTGTGCAGATTGCAACGACCAACGAGAGAAGCTTGACGAATCGGTATTGGGTCCTATAATGAGGTAAGAACTCGCAATTGACGAAGGCTTGGTGTCAGAGTTTGGCGGAGACCGAGTCCATTCAGATGACCTAAGTCCACCTCTAGATGAGTACTCTCGAACTTCTGCCGGACCAGCTGAGGCCCTCGAAGATGTAGCAGGTGACTGCAATGTCGACTGAGGAAGAGGTGATATCACTGCATGAGAAGTGGCAGGTCTATCGCGCCCTGCGCTTGACACTTCAGCGGCAAGTCTCTGGCGTAGATTTTCCGCATCAGGACGAGTTGAAGCCGTCCAAGCATCATCTTCATGACCGTAGGTCGTTCGTAGCTCTTGAGTGTCGTCTATCCAGTGTACTACATATGTGTGAGCAACAGGTCAGGGTAGCAGCGGTACTGTCTTACGATTCTTCGCAGGTTTTACCCATACTTGCCCCTGATCAAATTCCTGCTGACGTTTACCAGTCCCTCGAGCGGGCGCCACGCTGGGATTGTCACCATGCCGGAATTGTATTGAATCCTTGATGCAAGTGAAGCTGTGAGAAATGCAATTCACACAACTATCCTCATTGCTAACTATATAACATAAGCGTTTTTTCCACGATGGTCTTCGTGTGTATCTACTGGTGATGCATTTGATATGTCGATCTCGGCATGGGAGGCTGCATCCATGGGTCAGACAAGGTGCTAGCTTTGTTTATGAATACGGATCTTTCTCTCCTACCAACAGTTTGACCTGCCCTTTGGCACCTCAACGGAGGTCATACGGATCGACCCATCTATGGAACATGGAGAATTGATAATGTGAATCCGAACAGATTCATCGCCTGACTTTTCTCAACCCTGCGGGGTAAGTAGCCGCTTGGGGAAATCCCGGCCGGGATCAAATGCCGAATGCACTCATTCGGCAACCTTTTGCGAGGACGTAGCCAGTACTCCATGGATCGGCTTGTGATTGCTCATTTCAGTTGCCGAGCTGCCCAAATGCCAGCATACTAGTATCAGTCAGGTTTCGTTCTCGAACGACGATACTCATCTTCATGGTGAATAATCCTGATACTCAGAGCTCATGACCATTTAATTATGGAGAACTAAGAGTGTCCAATCAACATTTTGTCTACAGGGCACCGACCGGGGAACAGCAAAAGAATATTATTTTGGCGACATTCTGGGCAGTCCTTATCTAACATCCAACAACACTACCAGGTTTTCGTTCGTGCCGGCGAATAGTCTGAGATATTGTTGAACAAGCCTTTGGTCTGTTGGAATAGATCGATATGACATTGACGCCAACGCGTTAAGGGCGATATCGTAAGGAGTAGCCGTGCACTGTGTTGGCTGTGCTTTTAACATATTGCCACGGACTCTGATCGTACATACTCGATCAATACTGGGTTATTATCAGTCTCATCATCTCACTACCGTTATAGGAGGCTATATATCGATGTTGTCACCATAAATTTAGTGGCGAAGCTCAGAAATTCGTGGTCGATAGTGGGATGATATTTGGCGTTTTACGGCCAAGTTGGCCCCGACCATCACAACACGTGCCTTAGGATAAACGTCGCGAGATTGGTATTGTAGACTACCGAAAAGGCAGACCGAACAGTTATTAGTGTAGGTGACAAAAATATCTTTCCGAAAGATGAAATATTTGTAGAGAACATTCACAATGTCAAGCTCTCATCACAAAACACCATTCTCCGAGTAGTCGCGCACGTTACTTTGATGGCTAGGCAGGATTTTTTAACAGACTAGGTGCAGCTTCGAGCCCGAGAATATTTGCTCATAGAGAGAAGGGCACAAGGCTGTTTTTGACCCCGGTGGATGTGATGATGACGACGATGAGCCGGAGATAGGGGCGAAGAGCCTAGCGACCGGAGGGCCTGTAATTCTGATGACGTACTAAGGAAGCAATCACTGGTATATACTCCTCAGGGAGAGCTTGGAGGCTAAGGATTGCCAAAAGTGCCTCTCGATGCTACAGTACGTTCCGCTCTTCTGAGTCTGCTCAACGTCGTCTAAAGGCGGGTATTTCGAAGAGCGGCTTCGGTTGTCCCAATATGCCACCACCAACGCCAGTAACGCTTTACGCCGGATCTTATAGACCAACCTTACAATGCACCATATCCCGAAATGAAAACGATGCCCAATAAATTGTATGTGATTTTCGCTTCGAAGTAAGCTCATAGTGCATCCTCTGCTGCCGGAGGGGGCGGTGGGCCTCGCATTGCAGCAGCACCAGCGAGATCGTGCCCTTCTGTTGCAGCCTCGTCCCCTGTTTGTTCTGGCACAGGACGCCCTTCGAACATCCATACCCACCATTGTGGAGGGTCAAACGGCTTCTGGCCGTTATGCAGGGGCGGGTAGACATCATTGAAGAAGTACCATACTAGATACACATTAGCTTCTCGTTGTTTCCAGAGATCTTATGCCCACTAGCTTACTATGTCCGATCACAATTCCACACATTTCATCCTTCGGAACAGTCTCATGTAGCACGAAGCTAAACACCAGCAGTACCCAGGGCAGGTACGGCGCTCGGAAGACAAGCAGTCCGAAGAAATTGAGCCTCACATCAGGATTTTTACGACTCCAGACATACACCAATATACTGGACAGCGCAGAACCCAAGAAAGCCATATTAAAGAGCGGCGCGATGCATAGTAGGGCTGTGATGGAGTATGCCAGCAACCACGAGAAGCGTGCTGGCGACCGGCCTGAAGACTCCTCCAGGAGGCGTGAATACCGTTGAAGGAAGAATAGATGAAATACGAGGTCTATCGATAATGGCCCATAATAGAAGAATGTGGTAATGAGTCTCCAGTACTATGTGCCAGGCCTCGTCAGTACCTGTCAACTATAGGGCGTGCTCGCTGCCAGTCGCATGACGAAGCGCTTCAGTGTGGACGTACCTGCGATTTATACCATACAGTTCGAAAACTGTAGAAGAGTTGGAAGGGCGTAAGGACATGGCATTGTACAAGTACGCTCGCCGCGAGCGTCGCTGTGGTCCACCATCTCGTACACACAGGCATTTCGTAGAACCACTGTTCCAGGGGAAATTGACCGATCATGCCGTTTCCACCGACCATAGCCATGATGGATGACTAGAGCGCCAGTTTTTGCGTATATTTAGAGCGTAAATGCGCTGTTCGAAAGTCGTTGGAAGGGGGATGGGAGCAGCGGACGCCGCTGGAGGTGAGATTGGAGGTTGGACGAAGCAGAGCAGGGCCACCAAAATAATGGGTATATTGTGAAGTGAGCGAGAATAGATATGTTTGTGACTGCTTCAAATTCAGTAAGCTGTACGAATAACGAGCAGCACAGAAGTTTGAGCAAAATCGATTCTTTATCAGTCACAAGTATCTTACACGTTTCCTCACTCACAACCTCCCCAAAGCACCCGCGCTCGTCATCGGCTCTAAGACAGAGCTAACCCGCAAAGGAAAGGTCACTGTGGAGTTGCCATCTGCCAGAGGTACTCATCAGCCACAGCCAAGCTCGGTCCCGGGCGGCAGCACATTTCGCCGACATCCACCTCAGCCACATCTTTTCCATCACCGGGTTAACACCACGATATCGCGATAAATGAGCCTTGCCCGCTCTCCACGCTTCGTCAGCGCGACCCCTCCACTGTGCATGTCCTTCTTTAGATACACCTCGACCGGAGTTACCACAAAGTTGCCACACGACACAAATACACGACGCGTAAACAGCCTCACTCCTACGACCCGACGCGTCGCGACCAGCCACATCGCGACTCTCGTACGGCGCATCATCCACACCACCAACCAGTACTGCTCCACACCTGATTGTCCACACAGAACACGTCGCTATGGCGCCGAAACGGGGTGTCGTGCCAACAAGGGGAACATCGTCACGCGGCCGCGGTGGGCGCAGGAGCACAGGCGGTCGGTCGAGCCTAGGGAACAACCAACGTACGTCGACGCCAGGAGCAAACATATACTTTGCCAGTTCTCGCCTCCTACCCTAGACGTGTTTCGGATTCTCCAAACCTTCTGAATTCATAATTGACCCCCTAAAAAGCAGGCGACCCTCTCCCGACCCCACGCAAAAAACACCGATATCGTCCGGGCACGCGCGCTCTAAAAGAAATCCGCGCATATCAGAAATCAACCGACCTGCTACTACGCAAACTGCCCTTCGCGCGGTTGGTGCGCGAAGTTGCGCTGTCCATGGTACCCAGCGGCGAAGTGATGCGGTGGCAGAGTCAAGCGATCCAGGCGTTGCAGGAGGCGGCGGAAGCGTTTCTGGTGCATTTGTTTGAGGATACGAATCTGTGTGCAATACATGCGAAGCGGGTGACAATTATGCAGAAAGATATCCAGTTGGCGAGGAGAATCCGGGGCAGTTGGGGGGGCTCGGGATAGGGGCCAGGGTGAATAATGAGACGAGAGGAGGGGACTGTATGTACGAGTGTGTATATGGGAGTGGTATGGATATGAGAGGTGCAGAGATACCTGATTCCTTTTCGCGTTGGGCAATTAGGACACACACATGGCGTTCACGGAACGGAGCATGTCTTGGTCGGATATATGTCCTTTCGAGTTACATTTTATTGCATTCCATTAGCCTTGAATCCACGCTAGAAGTACCTCCTTTGGTTAAAGTGATCATTCCTCCTAGCCCACACGATAATTGATTCTGAGTTTCCACACAGCTCAAAGGTGTGGAAATGTTTTCTTTGTATCATTGGGTGGAGTGCGTACAGCTGGAGATGAGCTCTGGTGTCGACGAGAACGGCGGTTTTTAGGCACGAGCGTGTGCGAAATCATCTCGACCACTGTTCTCCCTGCATATGTTTTGTTTTCCTCGCTCGTTGTATCTCGGACTATTCGACCTTGAAACCATTTCACCCGGAATCTTTCGCAAGAAAAATTGCCAGGTTAGGAGTGCCTATACTGGTGTTAGACCTAGCGGATCTATGCGCGTCCATAGGATTGGCTCAGCAGGCGTGCTGTCCTGTAGATGACCGGCGAATTGGCACGATAAGTCTCGAACAAGTGACCGACCCGATGTTCATGACCGATCCTGTATGCCTGATTGGGCTCTAGCGACGCGACGATAAGTACTCGAGGACCGCGAGTTCTGAATGTGCGCAGTGTTAATTCTAGTCTTCTCAACTTTGGAAGCTGAGATGTCGTAGATCAGGAACGTCAAGGTGATCTTTGCCATCGAAGACGTGTCCTGTCAGAGCCAGGAGAGCTAGATTCTCAAACAAAAGTCTTTAGTCGGGCACTTGAGTATGATTGGGAATATATAGCACGCCCAGCGACCTATGACAGTGACGTGAGCATATACAATCGGATACAATCCAAGGTCCTAGATTAGGATTGTATGATTAGTCACCCTAAAAGTTGAGATTGATTGTGTTAGATTGAATAAAGTGGTGTATACACCGGGGGCCCCATATTAGGCTACATTTAGGCATTCTTTATGCCTAAGGCTGCCATATTAGTGCCTAAGGCTTCCGTATTAGTGCCTTAGGCTAAAACATAGGCCTTAGGTAGAAATGATGCCTGAATATGGCCTAATATTAGGCCCGTAGCTATACCTAGGTATATACCTCACTTTATTCAATCTAACACAATCAATCTGACTAATCGGATTGAGATTGTACCGTCTTGGCAATCATTTTGAGGCGTGGATTGAGCTTGTATTCTCTATTAAAATTTTGGCCCAGATTGAGATTGCACAGATTCGGATTGTATATGCCCATCGCTGTCCATGCCGTATGGGGCGACTATGTATTGGGAGTAGAGCTTTAAGATATCTGAGACATGCCATAGCGTCATAGATAGCTTGAACGTCATCGCCCTGCTGCTGACCAAGTTTAATTCGTGCTCGCGGCAGTGAAGTTCTCCTCGCGTTTGTCTCTGCTGCTTCAGTTCGTCATCTGGTCTGGCTTTGGAGTAAGTCTGACGCTGTCCGGTGTGGCTTCCATGCATATCCACGCCTTCATTTATAAGCTTCATAGTCATTGATTACTCGTGCCTTTATCTCCGCCTACTAGTGATAAAGTTCGAGGGCCAGTGGCTATTGTGTAATGGTCATCAAGCCGCAAAAGACTATCCTCATCATCTCGACTCAAGCTAATCGACGGCGCATCGAAATTTCAGCGAGCGAAAGCTATAAAACGTTGTCTCATTCAGCTGTTGCGTAGTGTCATGAACTACTGTGAGATCTGTCTCGCTAAATTGATCAGGGACGTCTTAACAAGTTAAACAGGAAGGATGTCAACAATCAAATAGGATGTAAACGTTGTGCATGGGCAGAAGCCGTAGGCTGATGCGTTCAAAGGGAGTACTGTAGTGGCAAACTCTAGAGAGTCTGCGAAGAATATGAAGTAGAAGCTCTCGACGATTTTAAGCGTGTTGGCGAGGAAGATCGTAGGTCCACTCAAAGGTTCAGCTAATATACAGAGCAAGATTCACACCAGTGGTTTAAGAAAGTGGAAGTCATTCGTGGAAAGGAGTCGTACTAAATACAGGTAGTAGAATTCTTAATATAAAATAGCGAGTAAAATAACTTAATATATCTAGTTTCTATAACTATATTATCTATAAAGACTAAGCTAGGCTTAATAAGAATCTAAGGAGACTTCATTTTAGAAGCTTAAGAGATAGTAGAATAACACGAACTTTAGAGCGAGAAAATAAAGAGTAATAAATAGCATGATCTAGAAATTTAGGTGCCTGAACCAAAGTATATCCGTACCTACGAACAATGGCTCGAGGAGCACTACCGAACTCATCATAACTGGACCATTCTTCCTCTTCTGGTCAATTGTAGCACTCCTGTGGGCAACTTCACCCAGTGGAAATGCTTGATTATCAGTATTGAGAAAACTGTCAGGTAAACAGTGGACTTCACATGAATATTGAACAGACCATAGCGATATCCGTAGCAAGAGTAAGGAATTGAACTCGACTGTACGAAAGTCAGGTGTGGCGCCATTCCACGCACATCCTTAGAACAATGTACATTGGTCAGTATATTTGAGGAGAACGACTGCGAACTCTGGTAGTAGAGGCTTCCAAACGTGGCGATGATTCAGTTTGTGCTGTGTGCTCGCAGGATATAATACCGGAACCCTCTTATGGCAGCAGATAACTTTGCGTCATTAAGCAAAACGTGAACAGAGTGCCAGGACACCTACATCCGAAGTTCGCTACAAAGTGCGATAAATCGAGAGGCAAGATGCTCTTGCTTAATGGTATTGGCATTCATGTCTGTGAAGCTTTGTATGCTGATTTGAGAGTATCACACGAAGGGTAACAAGCTCGAGACGATGTTCCTGGAGTCGAAGTCGAAGTTTCTTGACCAATCTCCGGGTAAATTTGCATCAGCAGATGTCAGATATCAGTGAGTACGCGATCAGTCATGGGATGACCACGTAGTGAATCTGCCGAGTCTGTTAAGTTGATGACCTACACATGAGGATATCATGCATCGCCTGTCAATTGTGTCTAAAGCGCTTCATGCAGGTCAATAACAATGAAAGCTCTAAAGTGTCGTGGCAAGCCCTCTACCATATGTCGATCACGATCACACAACCCACTGTGCTGGGATTATGGGACAAAGCACAAGCAAAACGATAGAATTGTCGATGGAACCGAGAAAGGCGTTGTACGGCTGTAGATGTATTGTGAGGGAGGACAAAGGATGGGTCTCAACAGTCTGGTGCAGTATTAAGAAGGTCATGGACGGGACTTCCTTTCAGAAAAGCGGGGCACGCTAAGCCCCTGCCTATCTTTTCGGCCACCCCTTTTCAGCCAGCCTTTGTGCTAAACAGCAACAAGCACCACCCGCCATCCTATCTTGTACCAACAATTGTCATGTGCAGAGATGAGACTGATGTTCATAATACCACCTGGCACCGAGTGTACTTCCTACCCTTGCAGCTGATGGTGCAGACCCTCGAGGTAACGGACACACGCAGGGCTGACGATGGTGCATCTTGTATGATGTATTCAAAAGACCCTCTGAATAATTACTTCTGCCATTTCATTCTCGATTCGGAGTCGATACGCGCGGTTCTTCCAAGGCCCTGTACAACTCACAGCATATGTAGCCAAGTGCGACGTATGCTCTCTGAAGGCCCTTTCGCCGACTCCAGCCTCATGGGCATAGGCGATTTGTTGGCTGGAAAGCTGCTGACCCGAAGCAACGTAGAGAGGGCCGATTCAAGTAAGTCTCCTTCTATAGGTAAGTGACACGGCTACTCCTGTTCGTATACTTGTATGCACTTACTACTCGGGCTGCAGAAGTATCGCCTCGTGTGTACTTTAAAAACCCTTGTACGGTGATCCCTGTTGATCGTTCCACCAAGCTCCCCTATCATTCGGTTTAATCTTGCATCATGTTCTCTACTGTCCTTACTATAACCGAGTCTTTTCTTTCCAAGGTCAGCCTCTCTCTTTTTGGCTGGCACCGTTCGGGTGTTTATACGTGTTTTTCACTTCTGCAGGAGCCTACGCCTCCCATGCACTCTTTTCTCCGACTTCTCAGCCATCAGCCACAGCTGAGGATTTCTCTTCTTTGTATTTTAAGATCAGTCCTATCCTTTTCATATCTAATATTATAAGCATCCAACTTATATTCAAGCTTCATACCTCAGGATATTGGTAAATTGGTACGCCACCTGCCACACCCAGATTACCCCAAGACGCCTCCCCATTGTTCAGCGTTTTCTGTAATAAAGCATCGCTTTCTGCCATTTGCTCAAGATGGCGGCTTTCAAGATCATGGCGCCCCTTTACTTTGCGTGGTTGGTAGCTGCTTTACCTGCTCCTGTAGCAGATGTTCTTCCCCGAGCCGGCACTTTCATATCGGCGCCCTCTACAACTACATATGATAACACGCTAGCCTACTACCAAAAAGCCACACCAACGGCTGTTCCTGAGCGCATAGGGGTGGGTCGGGTGCTCCATCGGGAGGAGTCTGCATGCTGACTGGTAAAATAGACGTTGAACATAGAACTTGAGACGAAAGCTGGTAAGAGAAAGTGGTTAATAACATTCAATTACAGCTGACAACTTGAAAGGCAATGGACTGCCATTTACGTTGCCATTAATTCAGTACACGAGCCTGGAAATAGTCTCATCGAGTATCGACGCCAACTATCCAGAGTCAACTGCGGCCAGATCCAGCAACATCTTCGTTCCAATCTCAAATGATCCTCCTCCACCGCAGATTCAAAGTCGAGAAGATCATCCTGTCAACGGAGTTGGCATAGCAGACATGTCAAAGCCGATTTCGACCAACAAATTCTACGCAAATCTTTTCTTGGACTCGCAAGCGCAAAGTGTATGGACTCATCCTTATTCTCTTCGTTGGATCAAAGGTGGTAGCTCACTCAAAAGCTGGGGTATGGGGGTCACGCATATCGAAGCAAACCAGTATGCATTTGGCGAAGGTGATCCTGCAAAGAATTTCGTTTGTCCTATTGGAATCAACCATTTTATTTTCTCTGCCAAGGAACTCGGAAATGGTACCAGACTCACAACTGATACTCTTACTGCTTTCTCTGTAAATGCAGACCTTCGTCCATGGGAAAATGCAGAGCCGGCTATCTCGTTTCCAATGGTCCAAGGTCAAGGCTTCACCACAGCGATTTACAAGAATTCGAAACCTATACTGGAGAGTGGCGTATTCTTCAGCTCGCTGACATTCGTACAAACGCTCGAAGGTAGTACTCCAATCCACAAGTATAGACTGGTCTTAAACGACCAAAGCAACTGGTTGATGTACGCTACCCCGACTGGGAGCGCTGGGCAACCGCCATTCAAGCTTGAGGATAGCAGTCGTATCAGTGGTCCTGATGGGTACAACGGATTGATTCAAATAGCGAAGAACAATAATGCAGAGGCCGGAGAAGCAATCTATGATGCTTCAGCTGGGGCATATGCCTGTGGCGCTGAGCTGACGGGCTCTGTTGACGGCTCCACAGGCACCTACTCGATTTCCTGGAAGAAGGGAGGTCTGACAGATAGGACGCTAGTTATGTTTGCTCTACCACACCATGTTGCAGCATTCGACGAAGGTACAAAGAGCGTAACCACGCCAGTCCAACTCCAAACCACCACCAAAGGCATCGCTACCGCCGTCAAAGCCGACAAGATCACGATGATCGAGGCTGGCCTCCCCAATACCTATGGCTTTCTTCCCTGGGATGAGGGAAACTCGAAGCAGATCCGCCAAGTCGCCATTGACGCCATAGACAACGCCGGCTCGTCCGAACTCAGCCAAAACATGGAGCCCCAGTGCGTGCTAAACAGTATGTACTACTCGGGCAAAGGTCTAGCCAAATTCGCCTCCATCATCATCGCCGTGAACGACATTGCTAAGAACACCCAGCTCGCTGCGTCGGGCCTGGTTCAGCTCAAAAAGGTCTTCGATGTCTTTGTCCAGAACAAACAGCCATTTCCCTTAGTCTACGACACAAGATGGAAAGGCCTTGTAAGCAGTGGTAGTTATGCCACCGGTGATAATGGCGTTGATTTTGGGAACAGCTTGTACAACGACCACCACTTCCATTACGGCTACTTCATTTACACTGCCGCTGTTATTGGATACTTGGACCCATTATGGCTCACTCAAGGTACAAACAAAGCATGGGTCAACTCTCTGCTGCGCGACTATGCGAATCCTTCCGCTGATGACCAAGTCTACGCACACGTCCGCGCATTCGACTGGTACAACGGGCACTCATGGGCGAAAGGTCTCTTCGAGTCCGGCGACGGAAAGGACCAAGAATCCACATCTGAAGATAGTTTTGCGACGTACGGCATGAAGATGTGGGGCCGCATTGTCGGCGATCCAAACATGGAGGCGCGAGGAAACCTCCAACTTGCCGTGCAGAAGCGCAGCTTCAACAGCTACTTTCTCATGGCCAACGACAACAAGATCCAGCCGCAAAAGTTCATCGGCAATAAAGTCACTGGCATCGTAAGTCTCCGTCCTCTCATTTCCCTCTCTCGCCTTCCCCACCCTTACCACATCACGTCTTCACGCCTCATATCTCTTACTGACGCCGCCCCCAGCTCTTCGAAAACAAAATCGACCACACGACCTACTTCGGATCCAATCCAGAGTACATCCAAGGCATACATATGATCCCGCTCTCGCCCGTCAGCGCCTACACTCGGCCATCGTCATTCGTCAAAGAAGAATGGGACACGTACTTCTCCAACGGCCGTGCCGACAAAGTAGAGGGTGGCTGGAAAGGCATCCTCTACGCAAATTATGCGCTCATCGACCCGGTCAAGAGCTACGACTTTTTTTCGTCCAGCAATTTTGATGTGGGCGGGCTGGATGGCGGGGCCAGTCGGACGTGGTATTTGGCGCTGGCGGCGGGTTTGGGGGGTAGTGTAGCATAGGCGAGGTTGGGAAGTGGAAAATGATTATCATGATAGCGGCAGTGAGCGTTTCTTTAGCATCTGCGATGACTCCAGGTTGATGGTGATGATGAGCCATGCGCTGGCATTTTCTGAGCCGCCTGGAACACTCATTTGTTCTTTCTTTTCACTCTTGTTCATACTTGGACGTGTTCGCGTGGAGACGAGATGTGTTTGTATTTCCCACGCTATTCTATTGTATATATCTAGCTCTATATAATTAGCATTTTCTTTCGCCACAGAATTCATTCACATGTTCACAGACGTAATTGTCGTCGTTCCCACTAGTTCACTACAACGCTGTAGGACTGAGTCCCAGTGCTATTATTGCTTGGCAATCAGTCTCATAACAGCCCAACCAGCCACCACTATTCCACGCCATACATACCAAGTACACCAAGTCTTTTCAGCAATTTTCTTTACGAACATTCGCAGATTCCTTGATGTGAACTGTAGGACATATGTAGTGGCTGTAGATGTCAGCATATAAGAAGTCGGCTTAGAAGTACCGAGGGAGAGGTTATTATGAAAAGGGCAGGTATAAATAGATATATAACATTCCTTATATAAGGAATATATATCTAAATAGAGTTATATAATAGAATCTAGCCGTAATAGACTATTATATAATAAACGGATCGGCGGAGTATAGCTTAAAGATAATAAGAATATAGTATAATTCTTAAAGTAAAGACTAGATAGAGAGAGAACTAAATATATAGAGAGACCATTTCTTATATATTCCTCCTTATACATTCTAGATCCTTCTCTCAATTAATAATAGGAATCTTCTAGACCTCTAGACATACATATATATTCTATAGCTCTAGTAGTTTCCTTAGAATAGAATAGAGTAGAGTAGAACTCTATAGAACTTATAGATTCTATAGTAGAACCTAATAGAACTCTATAGAAGTTCGTGTTTTCTAAAGACCTCTAGAAGTTTCTAGAGGGTTTTAGAAACTTCTATAAGAGTATAGAGTATTTATATATATAAGTAGATAATATTAGTAATATCGATTACTAATATTAAGCTATTCCTAATAAGGAAATACCTTATAGAAACTTATTAGATATAGTAGAGGTTAAGTTTATACACCCCCTATTAGAACTTAGCCTTAGATAGAACCCGATCTACATATACCTTAGCTAATAGGGTTAGGAGGTAACGTGAAGGGCGGTAAATAGTTACGTACTAGATAGATCGGCGTCCCTTTATATATATATTCTTAGATTTCTACTAAAAGGGTTCGGTAGTAATTCGTTCTATAATAGAATATACCCTATTATTCTATCTAACTATACTACTATCTAATAACCCTATTCTTATATTCGAATTACTCTCTATATAGTACTATAGTTAAGATAGTCTAACTAGAACCGAGAAGGTCGATACGATCTACTATAGGGATAAGTAATACTATATTAAATAATAGGGATCCTCTATAATTAGTATTAATTCTAGCCGTTTCTAACTAAGAAGTAGAAATATTAGACTAAATTATGGAGCTTTTAGACGAAGAAATAGTAGATATACTAAGTAACTTCTAATAATATAAAGCCGGATAACGAGTCGTGGCGGAGCCACGTAAGGTATTATAATAAACTATTGTGGAAGGCCGCTCCTGCAGCCCTATATGTATGTATCCCTGGCTCGATTATATGGCTTCATTGTATATTTAAGGAGGGCGTTTTCCTTGGTCATTCTGCTCGGCGCTTCCCCCATTACTAATATTCGACTATTCGACCTTTTCTTACGTTTATAGGCCTCTATAGGTATTAATTATTAGGCTTAGCTATTAAAGAATTGATTAAGAGTATTATATAGACCCGTCCTATTATAAAAGAGAACTAATAAGAAGTTATGCGTTCAAAGAGAACTTATAATACCTAGGAGAGATACTTATGAGTTCGTCGTAACTACTATACTAGAAATATAGCTATTTATAAAAGGGATACACGTGGTAATAGCTTACTATAATTTTAGAGGTCGTACCCGGACTACGAACTTATAGGGGGAGATTAGGACTCCGAAACTAGCTTAGGGGAAGTATATAGCGTACCTAATAAGGTAGTCTAGACTTACTAGATTAAAGCCACGAGTCCGGAAAATAGGGAGTCCGGAGTCGCTAGGGGCTAGCCTCTTAAAAGTAGCTATAAAAAGCATGCGTATACTAATACGGGTAATAGCGCGACTCGAAAATGTCTTAGGGGAATAGAATATAAAATAGGGCTAGATAAAGTAGTAAAGAAGAGTTTAAAAATGATAAATATAACCTGTTTAGTACTACTATAGCTGTTATTTATAAACACGGCTATACGAGTATACTACTTTAGAAACGCCTTATATAAAGATAATAATATAAGTAGAATACCGTGAACCTTATATCGATAAAGACGATAGTAATAGTTTACCTTATAAAGGGATTAGTTAATATAGAGAGGGGATAATAGGTGTTATAGGTAGACCCATTGGGCTAACCTTTAGTTAAGGTAATCCCTTAACTAATAACCTTACCCCTAGCGTCTCCACTAGTATACCTACTACTAGTAATAGTACAATAGAAGCTTAAAATAACGACCTAGTAACTCGTAGAGAGATACTTAACTTCTTCGTAGTATTTGCGCAATAAGGAAGGATAGTATCTCTACCTACCCTAGCCCCCGAGCGCTTTAAAGAAATAAACATTACGGCCTTCCTTCGGAAGTACGAGAACATATATATAAACTATAAAGTTCCGCCTAATAAGAAGATAACCTCCCTACTATTATACTATAAGGACTATCTCTATCCTACTATTAAAGGAATAAGTAGGTTTTAGAAATAGTAGTGGGCCACGCTACGTGAAGAATTATTAAAGGAATTCTCTCTATTTAACTCTACCCTCGAGGAAGGCACTATCTACTTTATCCAAAAATACGTGGAAATGGTTAAAGTAGACCTATCCTACTCTCTCCCTATATACTACTCCCGGTATCATGTTATTACGGAGAAACTTATGGCTAAAGGAAGCCTAAGCTCGTATTCGTGAATAGAGCTCTTCCTAGAAGGGCTGCCTAATAGTCTTAAGGCTCGGGCTATAGAGAAATATCAACTCACGATAGAAGCACATAGTTACGACTAGGTAATTGTCTATGACTTCGTATCATGAAAGGCCAGAGTACTTAAGGAACTAGCTCGTATTAATAAGCACTTAGCCGCATAAGAGCTAGCCATAGCCATATACTATAAATTAAAGATAGGGAGTAAGAAGACTAGCTTAGAAGAGTAGTCATATGAAGAAAGAAGAACTAATAAATTTAACTACCCCTCTCTAGTTATAGTACACGTCACGCTAGAATTAGATAAGTTTAACGAGATAGTAGAGAGATTTAGTAAACTAGACCTCACGTTAATTAAGATAAAGTCCTACTTTACCTCTAATCTCTTATTCCTATCCCTTAAGAAGTACGAACCTAAGCTACTTTTAGCTATTATTAACTAGTAGGCGCGAAGGCTAAATCTTTTAGCACATCCCTAAGTACGAGGCATGCCTATAGAACTAACGTAAGTTTATCTATAGAATTATATATAGAATAGAGAATATATCTCTACCTAAGACTCCTAAGGGGGCGTTATAGCCTAGGATAGGCCTCGAAGACTAATCGTATACATTACGTACGGAGGGGATTACCTAATATATAGATATCCGGAGATAGTAGAATATATTAGAGACGGATTACTAAATATTAACGGGGTACGAGTATTCTAAGGGCGTTTTAGAGTAAATAGAGAAGAAATCCTATTACTACCCTCCTCGGTAGGGCTATAAGCTACTCTATAAGCTATCTAGAACTATATAGTAACGGTTTAAAACGGCCTAAGCTAGTATAGAGGAGGAGTAAAGGTTTCTACGTCCGTAGTAAATATTAACGCTTTATAGAGAGTGCTAGTATATAGTATTAGTATAAAACCTATAAAGGGTCCCTACTAGGCCTCGGCGGATAGCGATTCGGAAGAAGAAGTTACGTTACCTAAGAGTAAGAAAGATAGATATATAGAATTCTACGAACGCTTTAACGTGGCTAGTAATAGATATATCTATAAGGAGATAGCCCTAGAAGAGCCCGCTATACTTATAATATCTAGAAGGGGGATTATAAAGAGTACACCTAATTATACTAAGGAAAGAAAGATCGCCCGTCTCCGCGGAATACGTAAAGAGTAGTATATAAGGATTATCGAGGAATAGAAGGACGGCGAGAAGAGTAGTAACTAGAGAACGTCTAAATAAGAGCTAACGGCGCTAGAGGATAAGATAGATAAAGGGGATAGCCTAAATCCTAGTTAAAAGGCACGTATCTAAGGCGTTAAGCTTAATAACTATCTACGTAAAGGATAGCGGCTAAGTATAGAAGCTAGTAAAGTATAGCTAGTACGCGTTCTAGGGATAACTATAAACATTACTATTAGCGAACTATTAAGCCTTAATAGCGACTTATATTATATGGTATTTAAGAAGGGTGCCCTCGACTTTATAGCTAGAGAGGTCTATAAGACTTAAGAAGAGAGAGCCGAGAAGAAAGGAAGAAATGACTATACTATAGCTCCCGAGATAAATAAACTTAATATATTAATACCCCTCTATACCACGGGGACGGCTATTATATAATAAGATATTAATTAGCTTAAGGAAGGGATAGTAAGGCTAGTAGCCGAGTATCTAAGATACCCCGTGGAAGTTAGTCCTAAAAGGGCGACTAGTATAGTACTATTCAATAGTAGCGCATAGATAAATAGTATTTAACTAGATGCTACGAGGCGTCTCGGGCTAGTAATATCTTCGCTTCTACTATATATAAAGAACTCGAGTTTAGTTAGCGCTACTTAGTATAGTACTCTATTCATAGAAATAGTATAGTAATACCCTATCTATATAGATTAGATCGTTACGGCTACTTCGATATTCGTATATAGTAAACTTAATTATAACCTTATTCTAGAGGAGCCATATACTAGATAGGCCTTACTTATAGTATAGAGGTTAGCCTCTAGATAAGTACTCTTAATAGTCTACTCCGTATATAGATAAGAATATATAACCTTTAAAACTAGTATGATGAGCTATCGCCACGTATGTCCCTTTTTGTAAATGGCTATGTTCTTAGTATAGTAGTCGCGACGAACTCACAAGTATCTCTCCTAGGTATTATGAGTTCTCTTTGAACGCACGACTTCTTATTAGTTCTCTTTTATAATAGGACGGGTCTATATAATACTCTTAATCAATTCATTAATAGCTAAGCCTAATAATCAATACCTATAGAGGCCCATGAACGTAAGGAAAGGTCGAATTATCGAATATTAGTAATAGGGGAAGCGTGTGGAGTAGAATGACCGAGGAAAACGCCCTCCTTAAATATATAATGAGCCATGTAATCGAGCTAGGGATATATATATATAGGGCTATAGGAACGGCCTTCCACATATACCTCCCCGGCCTATAGAACTACTACCCTTAGTAGTATAGTAACCGTGTGAGAAACCGTGTGAAGAACACCTAAAAGAAAGACCTTAATATAAATAAAATGCGCCCCTAGTAAACCCCTCGGCGCGGGTAAACCTTAGCCCGGATTATTAGTTAAGGGTAGCCCTTAACTAATAATTAGGCAGGTTTTCAGGCGCCTAATCTTAGTACT